AATCAGCGTCATTCATTGCTTTCTTAAGTGAGTTAGATAGTGAATATTCGGGTTTTTCCTACTATACCGAGGTACGTTGGTTATCTTGCTCCAAGATTCTCAAACAACTCTGGGATTTGAAAGAAGAAATATGTCAGTTTTTAAAAAACGAAAAATCAAGACGTAAGTTTGTTTTACGATCCAATATGGATACAAGATTTATCTTTCTTGGTTGATATAACCAAACCTTAACCGATTTAAATTTATCGTTACAAGGAAAAGATCATATCAGTACGAACATGTTTGACATAATTAAAGCATTCAAATGTCAACTAGTTCTTTGGGAAAAACAACTTAAAAATGAAGATTTGACGCACTTCCTGACGTGCAGCATGAACAAATCAAGTTTAGATGATACTTGTTCGTATCAAAAATACGCAGAAAAAATTGCAAATTTAACAACTGAATTTGAAACGAGGTTTAATGATTTTAGTTCCCTCGAAGGCAAATTTTTTTTTTTGTTTTCTTCGATTTTCTCAATAAGTATTGACTCAGTACCCAGCCATATGCAAATGGAGGTGATCGAGATTCAATGCAAGTCAAATTTGAAAGCAAAATTCATTGCAGTGGGCGTGCCTGAATTTTACAAATGTTTACCAGCCAGGTTTGAAAATACTCGAAAATTCGCATATGAAATTATTTCCATGTTTGGTAGCACTTATCGGTGCGAGCAGTTATTTTCAGTCATCAAAGGTAATAAGTCTCCTATTAGAAACCGTATAAATGATGCTCACCTTGGGTCAGCGTTGAAAGTTATCACTGCAAACCAAATTTCTCCCGAAATAGGAAAGATAATAGCAGAGAAGAGATGTCAAGTATCAGGACGTAAACATTAAATTTTTCTTGTTCTTTTCTATATAAATATATATATATATGTTTATTATTGTATTATTCGAAATAAATCTACGTTTCTATGATTTTTTTTGAGGCCCTCCTAAAGTTAAACCTTGTTTGTTTGGCCCAAGTGTACCTATGAGTTTGACTTCCCTGGTGTAGTGGTTCTGCACGCTGGGACGGTATTCCAGAAGTCCGTGGTTCGATTCCCGGCGAAGGCGATTGATAATTTTTCTTCTTCCGTGCTTCCAAAAATACCTAATGTCTCTACAGTGGCGCCCGAACTAAAAGGGTGTTGGATGAGGATTCTCCGCACCCAGGATTTGGTGATTGGGTACCCTAAAAACCCAAGTCGCCCTTTAAAAGGGGAGTATATAAGGTATTTCTCCCACCTTCCTAGCGAGCCTTCGTAGTGTAGTGGTTCTGCACGCTAGGCCGGTATTCCAGAGGTCCGTGGTTCGATTCCCGGCGAAGGCGGTTGCTAATTTTTCATCTCTCCGGCTTTTCAAAAATGCCTAATGTCTCTACAATATAACCGGTGAGTGAAATATTAGGTATATTTTTGTGGCTAATGCTGATAAATTCCTCAAAAGCATCATATAACAAATTATTTCCATTTATTTGTGTTCGATTACCGTATTTTTCGAGTCCTGCTTTTCGGCTACCTCTTCATTGATGTCCCATTAAACAATCACTCTAGATAAGCTAGAAAAAATTGTCAATTCGTTATGAAAATTGATGAAGCACGGTACAATAAACGGCTACAAATAGCTTAAGAACAAAGCGAATATTAAGCAATCTCCTTAGTACATGAGAAATATCGTCACTTCTCAAAATCAGTTACAGATTAAACTCTAAACTTCAATTCAGCTAATTCTCTTTGAACCGTGATGTCACGGAGCCACTCAGCTCTGAGACACTGAGGCATTCCACCTCCCAGCTCTTGGAGCCATGTTTATGTAACGCTAGTGGAAGTTTTAGGAGAAATAGGTTCTACAGCTTCCAAAATGCGTTTTCTCGAATTGGTCCGAAAATTATTAAATTGGCGAAGAATAGCAAAATGTTGCCAATTTTAGGCTAAACTTGAGCTTGTCAGGAACGTATTTGTCGACATCTCGCGATATAGTTGGGATATCTTATTATTTAAACGTAATTGGACTCAGAATTGAACGATCTATATCTCTTCGTAATAAATTATTTGTATTCGAAACATGTGGTCCCGAATTGACTTACAAAAAACTGAACCCCAAAATTATTATCCAAAAAGCAACAAGTAATTAAGTAATACAATGCAAAATATTACCAATTTTTATTGTAGTGATCTTTATAGCTTATCAAACGCTCGCAGTACAACGCAGTTCGAACGCCAGAATGTATCGCACTTGAGCTCTTTTTGCGTTAAAGTTATGATGTTTGACTGTCGCGTAACAGACCTGGGATCATAAGCCTGTTGCAGTCTTCAAGCGCAAACCAACCCCTACGCTGCTGCATTTCTCAGTGGTACTAATAGATGGCGACAAAAGCAAGCAAAAGCACTCTGAGCAGCTCCAAGCTAGGTTACGACACTTACTATATCACTACGGTACTGACCCGGACTTGTTATTCTAGATCTTTACAAGGAAATCCGGAGAACTGCGCACTTACGGCGATCCGGAGACCTGCTTACTGAGGACACATAACAAACTGTCGCACACACGGCAAGGCACTCCTTCAACCATGCTTCATCATACAGAAAAGGGGTCATACTAAAGCGTGTCCATACACACACTGGAGCCGCAGCCACAGCCTTCTACGCAACCCACAATCATATCAATTTGCTCATGGGCTCTCACATCACGCCCAGAACAGGAGCTCAAATTATGACGACCAATCCTATCTCCTCTTATCACATCAGAAATGCTTGGAAAGGGACTGGCTAATGATCTCGATAGCCAATTGAACGTCACATGACAAAGCAGTTTCATTACCAGAATCTACTGCACAAGAGCTGTTTTGAGTTACGGTATGGTATTGGAATGCTACGCAAAAGAACTAAAATCCAGTCCTAACTTCATCATAATTTTCAAGGCCCAAACTAACGTCGTGCGTTGCTGCATTTCTCAGAGGTGCTAACAGAGATGTCGACACTACCAGACAACGGCATAACCAACAGCGCCAAGTAATATTATGATACCCACGTAATTGCTACAATATGAAAATAATAACACAATGAAACAAACTTGAATATTTACAGAAATTTACAGCAACAGTCTCTTCTTAAGGACCGCACTTCCAAGTCAGTGCAAGCTCCAAGACTAGGGACATCTAGTCCTGATGACAAAATAAGATGCAAGTCTGTCATAGCTCACAACTTTAACTTTAGAAAAGCCCTTTTAAGCGATCACGCGGTACGAGAGACCTCGTTGACTTTGAGTATGTAGTTGCTTGCTCGTGTCGCCATCTATTAGCACCAATGAGATGTTCAGCAGCGTACGAGCTTCGTATATCCTTGAAAATGACAATGATCTTGGGATTCGATCCTGGGTCTTTTCATGCGAGCCCAATTCCCCACCTCTAGCTCAAAAGAGCTCCCATGCGCTAGGCTCAAGAATTCTGACTCTTTCAAATTTGTGAGCGTTCAGTGACTCTCTCGATATCGCTGCACGATGTATGGATACTCACCAACGCGTCGTTCAAATTCTTGATCACGCGGAATTATCTTTTCCAGGATGTTTTCAATTTATGCAAGATCATTTTCCGGCGCTTAGTTTGCACTGCAAGATTTGAATTCTATCCAACGTATAACTGATTCGACGTTTTAAACGGATATGAAGTCTCATCTGTCGGTCAATACCGACGTTTAAAAAAAAACTTTCATCTGAGATTGGTTATTGAAGAAGAACATATTTAGCACAATGTTAAAAAAGCTTTCATCTTTATCATGATTAATTTGACTCGTTTGCGCTGTCCAGAATTGCAAATGCCCCATTTTTGTCTCAGGAAAATATGGTCAGTAAATGAAGACCTTTAAATTTGCTCATTTCAGAGTAAATGAAGCAAAATTCCAATAGAATGTGTAATAATAGTTATGATTTTTTCCAGATATTAACAACTTAATATTTTTGTGTCTAATTCAACAGAATGAATAGACATTTTTCAGAATATTTTTTTGCACTTGCTAGCAGCCACAAGCATATTCACAAAGCCTACAGACCATTTCTACTACGGTCTGCTCTCATTAGATGAAACATCTACTTGTCGGTCATATTTGGAATGGTGAGTTATCGCCTTGTAGGCGAGGTAATTAACGCCAAACAAACCTTGCAGGCTTTCAGTACAGCGAGGAGAAACAGCATTTATTTCATTCGATAATTTTTTATTTTCTGAATGAAAGCTAAGTGTAATTGTGTGGAATATATTTTAAATAACCTACTGATGTTATTAATAGTTTATGTGTATTTGAATTTAAGCTGTTAAAATTACAATAAATGTTTTGCAAGAAAAAAGGTTTACAATCAATATTTGCAATTAATCAATTCAATAAACATTTAAGGGCATCGGATACATATTCTTTTAATCTAAATTATGAAAGTAAGTATAACTAAAATTATATTTTATTCTATTATGCTCTGTTTCTATAGAAACGCTTTTCGGGATCTTGGTACATAATTTTGCTACTGGTACCTACTGCAAAGAGAACAAACCAGTAAATAAAAATAAGAAAAATTGTTATTATAATAATAGAGAAAATGAAAAGAGTTAAATTTTTAACACCGCATCCCGAAGGCGGAAAAGGCCATGACATGACAAAGTCATTCGATAAAGTTAGGAAATAAAAATACAATCCGTGTAGAGCAGAGTTCGTATGAAAGTCTACGATCGGAGGATAGAATCCGGTGCTCTAGAAGTCCGAGAAATTTTTCCATCGCTCGTTACCGCTTGAGCTGCGGTTTCTCCGGTTGGTTGCGTACAATTTTTGGTACAATATGCTCATAACGCAAATAGTATAAGGCGATGAAGCAAAAGTCGCCAAGTACAAGATTCTGTAACCCTACGTTTACTCTTTTAACCAATCGGAGCAAGCAGTAGAGAAATGGTCTGTAGGCTTTGTGAATATGCCAGCCACAAGCTCTGTATCATAATTTGTCAGCAAATTTGCTGAAATGAGTGACATTGATTTGGCAACAGCAAGATTGTTGATGTTGAAAAAAAAAATGGCGGCGGCAGCAGCAGTGTTGAAATCGCGGGACGTCTTGTCTCATCCTGAGAAATTAAATGCTACTATTGTTAAAGAATTTGGTGAGAAACAACTTTTTCTAATGATAATATTTAATATTATAGTTAATAAATGTTTATGTTCGTTGTCGTAGTTAATTTTTTCATGTTTAACCCTTTCGTCTTAAGAAGTGCTTTGTAATCATATGCACCTTTAAACTTTCCTTTCAGATATATAAGTTCTATCCCATTTATTCCTGTTATTTAATTTTAAAAAAGTTACCTTTTACTATAAAAATGGTAGTACATATATTAACTTTGAAATAGTTACCTGATGATATGTAAGTTCTAGAAAAATTGTTAAAAGTTACAGAAAAGGTTCTTTGTCAGTGTTAGAAATACAAAATATAAATTGAAGTTCAGCTAATATCAAAAAGAGAAGTGAGATACAAAATATCATATAAGAAAAAAATGAGCTAAAAAAAGAATGAATGAAAATATTCAGCTGTAAATATGAACCATTGATGAGCTTTTGCTTTCCTAAGAATTGATTTATATGATAAGGGTTTGAATTCTTTTACCAGGGCTATGGAGTGGGTAGGGAAAATGACTGACTCCGACTCTTTGAATTTTAAAGACTCCGACTCCCTCATACATATATAAATATATAAACATTACACATGGGTTACAGCTTATTTTTTTAATATAAAGGAAGTAATAGATGCTACAAAAAAAAATTGATGGCATAGCAAATTATTTATATTAATTAGTATTTATTATGAAATAGAAAAACTGGCATTAGTTATTTCTAAGAAATAGTGTAGCTTCGGCAAGACTTTCTTTGTGGGAGGGCTGTAGACTCAATTTGATAAACATCAGAGTCTTTCCACACTAACTTGAGCAGGAGTAAAAGCTGTTACTGTTAGGGCTACCTCTTTTGACTTTTCAGTATAGATTTTGTATAAGTTCTAAAAGAGGTAGCGTGCAAGCACAGTCATATTTCCCTATTTCTTCAAAAGCCATGTGGAATCTTGTTTGTATTTTCTCATTATTATATCTAAAGGCTCCTGGTTCTTTATTTTCATTCGCTTTGCCTTAGCATTTTTAATATTATCTAAAAATATTTCTTAAAATCTAATTCATCTTTGGAAGATGATAGAGACTCAATTGCAGTGTCTGGAGTTTGAGCGTCCTGGTTCAAATTCTCCAATTTTTCTGAGAATAATTTCATTCTTAATGAAAGTTCATAGATGGCTTTCTACTTTGTCCTTTTTAATCTCTTTGTCATCGAGACAAAATTCGGTGGTTTTGGATCTACATATATTGAACTCCAGCAAGATCTCCTTGTCTAGCAAAGTAGTGTCTCTTTTCTTCATTGAAGAAATGATTCCTTCTGCAATAAACCCTCCATTTCAGAAAGAAGAAACATCCCATTCTTCCATTCTCGCCTCCTGTCAATTCTTCAGATTGCAACTTTTTTGTGGCTATGTACGGTATAGAAAGAAGAGTTTCCGATTTTGCAAGATCATTCCACAGTCTTTCTGTTAGTGAAACATTGGGGTTATCTTCATCTCCTAAAAAAAGTTCTTAATTCTAAAAACCACTTTATCATCAAATATGTACTTCCTTATCGCATTGCTTGATCAATAATTGTTTCCTTTTTCTTGCTTGCTTCCTAAGAACGGTATCAATTTTAGGGAGTTCTTGCTGGTATTGCTGCTTACCTTAAATTTACCAGGGAGAACTTATAACTAAATGAATCAGTTTAATCACTAATGGACAAATATCACATCCATCCTCTTTCCTTATAATTTATTTATTAATATGTCTATAAAATAGAAAATAATTATTTATTAATGTATATAGATACAAATAATAACTCAGCATATCATTAATTTTTTTCAATTCATTTTAATTTCATTTCAAATTCAAACTGTCCAACAAAGATTCGACCTGTTTTTAGCAACTCCAGCTCCGACTTTTACCTCAAAATCTGCCAGACTTCACAGCCCTGCTTTTAGCTTTGTGTAGTATGTGGAACTGCATGTTAAAATTTACATGTCAGAATCATATTATTATATTTATAGTTGTTCAGTTTCTCTAAATATATTTCTAATTTTTTATTTATTCTTTACAAGGTGTTTACGGATGACCTTCCATAATCTAAACCATATTACATCTTCATGACATATGGGCCCACCAGCGGCCGAGTGGTAAAGTCCCTGAACACTGGTAGTGTAGTTCGGTCCGAGGTTTAAATCCCGCGAATGGGCTGGCTGCATGCGCATTTTCGTGGTTTTCCCCATGTGTAACGTGTATACAAGCCAGTTTCTCTTAGAAAGTCATCCACGAAGGCATCCCTCCCCTTAGGCAGATAGCCCTAATGTGTTTTGCCATACTTAATAAATAAACTAAACCAACCTTAATGACGTATGAATCAGCTGTTTTCTTTCCTTATGTATATTGTACATTTTCCCTTAAAATATTGGTTAATAAACAGTCTGTCTGGTTTTTTGAATTTTGCACAAAATTTTTGTTTTATGGTTGCAAACATGGCAGGCGTTTCACAAATTTGCAATTAAATTTTAGTAGTTGTGCTTAGTTGGCAGCTGACAGGACTAATTTCATGTGCAAGGTACATAGATGGAAACTACAGTCAAAAGTCGTTAATCCGGACTAGTTGGGACTTCAGCGATTCTGGATTATCGATTTTTCTCAATTATAGATCATCAGTTTAAATCTGGTAAGATGGCATGCCGAAATTGTAAAATTAAAAATATGAAACCGTAATGTATGAAATAAAGAACAATTATAATCTAAAGAATATCAAAATTTACAAAAAAAAAAAAAAAAAAAAAAAAGCTTAATATTTATTTGTTTTTTTTTATTAAACATTTCTTTCAGTGTAAGTTTTTTAAATTGCTTCGTTTTTTATGTGATAATACTTTCTCTTTAATTCTATAAACAGACATAATTTCTTGTTCAGTTACAAAGTTCCGCTGTTCAAGTCCTATGATTGCCGTGTCGAGAATACCGACTAATTTGTCAATTGAAATTTTTTCGTTTTCAATAACCTTTGTGTCACTTTCTTCACTATTGGAAGCGAATTATAATGATGAGGAATTTGATTTAACTCGTATCAAAGACGGAGTACATCGAGATGAAATACTACATTTAATAAGGAATTATAAGCCAAATAAAATAAAAACATCTGCTCTGAAGATAAGGATAGTGCTGGCAGATCAACTTCTAATTCATTGTGCGCCGCAGCGCCCCCCCCCCCCCCCGCAGAGCAGCGTGAAATTGATAAACAGATTTCGGAATGGTTAGAGAAACAAAGGATATGCCTTCATCCATTCTTTGCAGCAATTCCACTTTTTGTTTAATGGACTTCGAAACATACTTTCGCTTTGTAGATCCTTTACATATTAGTAAATATATATCAGAAATTCTATTTGACATAATCGAAAGTTCAAGCTTACTTTTATAAAATTGCTCTGACAGTCTGCAAAAAATAATAAGCCGGATCCAGTTCGAAGATTAAGGAACAACGCAATCTGCAACATTAACTGAATTAGATAATTTTAGCTTAGCTTATACCGTCCATTATACATTAAACGCGCATTCATAAACGTATTTTGCGCATGCGCACACACATATTCGCAGCTGTAAAGTCTTTCTCTGCGATGACGCATGCACAGAAAGTTTGTAGCTTTGAGGTCCGGATTATGGGTGTCCGAATTAACACTTTTGACTGTATATCGTTCGTAGAAGTGACAACTACACAAAGGCATATTCTTCTAACAAATATTAATAAATTTAATTTATATGGAGCATCAACTATACTGATTTAAAAACACTGAAATTATTCATCATCGCTAATAGTCACTAGTATTTTTGATAAGAACCCTAAGTTTCTTCAGTTTACATTGTATAGTGTAGTGTTTTGAGTATTAAATGAAAACATGCATTGCATTGTGATGGAATATGAAGATGTTGTACATCCTTTTGCCTAAAATTTATGTAAGCACAAAAGGAACTACTCTGATATGCGCCCTCAAGTCACCAAATTTCTCGCCAAACATTTTTGGCGAGAAACTTCATGCTGCCATATTACTATCTAAATTTTTTGTGTATATTTCGAACTTTAAGCCTAAAATGTCTCCAGCAGTTTTTGCACATGCAAAAACAACGTTTTGAACACACGATTAAGCTAAAAAAATCCGAAACAAAAACAAAAAATTTAGATAGCAAAAACGTAAAGTTTCTAACCAAAAATATTTGGCAAGAATCCATGTACACAGCGACATGTTTTAACTAAAAAAAAACATCTACGAATGGCACAATGTAGCAACGAACGAATCTACGACTCGCACACCTCGCTTTATAAAATTAAATAAACAATGAATTTCAAAAGAATACCATGTACACAGCATCCTGTTAAACTTAAAAAACATCTACGAATTGCAATTTTACGGAACGAATCTACGAACTCACACCTCGCTTTAATAAATTAACATAACAAAATGAATTTCAAAGAATACCATGTACACAGCATCCTGTTTAAACTTAAAAAAAAAAACATCTACGAATTGCGCAATTTAGGCAAGGAATGAATTTACGATCTACGCACACCTCGCTTTAATAAAATAACATAATAACAATAAATTTCAAATAATACCATGTACACAGCATTCTGTTTCAAAAACAACAATAACGACAGAAATTCATACTAAATAACCAATGAACATAACATTCTACAAAATAAGAACAAGAATAAAATGCACTTACCATAAATTAATGCTTCTTCGAGCAGCAGATATACTAATTTCATACTGCCTTTAACATGTCGCCACGTAATCACTATCATATTTATGATCACTATCGTACACACTCCAGAAAATTCATACTATGGTTCACAAATAAATAAAATCACAAATCCCTACTTCTATCATGCACAGCCATTAAAAATAATCTCCCAGACCCTCTTTCCACACCTCCAAATACCCACTACCCGTCAACAGGATGGCCACAATGATATTTCCTTTTGCCGAACTTCAATTCAACAACTTCTACCATTTTATCTTTCCCTCCCATCTTCTCAGACGCGAATCAACGAGCTCCAGCGAAAGATTGTTCAACGTCAACAGGGTTGCCATAGAAAACGCAATCGTGCCAATAACCAGTGCAGAACATATATCGCCACATTTGGTGAAATTAGGGTGTATATCAGTGTTGTACCGCACAAAATAAAAAATTCTTAGTTTCGTGTTTTTCTTTTATGGGAATACAAGGTTCATTTACAGCTAAAGCATGTACTGCTTATGTATTTTTTCACCTCTTTCCTGTATCATTTTGTCAGTCTTATCTATAGGTAATACTTCTAAGGCTGCTATCACATGTCAGTTTGTTTCGGAAAAACAACTGTTTGGAACAATTCTTTTGCTTTGTCACAACAGCCAATCACCATCGATCACTTTGGGGCTAACACAGGGGAACCTGGTTCCCCATTACAAACAAGCTGATAGCTGATTGGTTGAAAACGAACAACTGCAATTTTTTTGGAAAGGAAGGAAATAGTCACACGTCTTTCTTTCAATAGTAAAACCAGGCAGAAAAATTGTCCGAAACAGTAGTTCATGTGAAACAATCGCTGTGTGATATGAGTGTTAGTTTATCTGCTTTCACACAGATCATAACTTATATTTAAACATTAATACATTTTCCAAACACTAATATTGCATGCATTTTTAGCTTGAAGATAACAACATAAATATTAGTTATATGTTATATTCATTACAAGTATGCATTAAAAAAAGGGCAATACTGATGGAGTTGGTACTTTTCTGGGTACGTTTCCGTTTTGCCGGCACAAACGATAAAGTCACCAATAATGGTACAGTTGATGCCAAATGGAATATCTTCGCTAGTAACCCTTTACGCTTCATTTTCAAAACAAGTTGCAGCCTTTTCTTATTCGATTGTTTCTTTCAATACTAGCATACAATTACATACAATACTAGCATACAATTACAAGATAGTTAAATTTTATGCCCTAAGACCATTCGTTGTAATTAAGTCAATTAGAATGCAATCACACCGCTCACCTGAAGGTGAAAATATAGAAAAGGTAAAATCAAGGGTTAAATTTATCAATCCTAACAAGAATGTGCTAGCAAAGTAAAGCACTGCGGTTTTACATAATTTCTGAGTAAGCTATTTGTACGAATTGAAATAATTCTCGCATTTAAACTTTATTCCAAATTAAGATTTAACTTGAAATTAATGTACATAATTACTGAGAGAATTAGATTTTTGTAGTGTAGTTTACGTGAGATGGATCACGTGATGCGAATCGGCGAATCAGGGTGTTGAACCATGAAAGCCTAGTAAATTCTTAAATTAATGTCTTTTTACAAATTTATTGGTTTTTTACAAAATTTTAAACCATATTAAAATTTTTATGATTTTAAAACAAAATATTCTTAGAACTAACATTTTTTTATGTTTATATTGTATGCTGTTGCCAACAAAGTCTGCTTGACGAGATTTGCACCGGCAAAACGAAAAAGTACCCTCTTCTGTTATTGGGACCAGGTTCAGAAATGTATGGATGTATGTAAGCCTGTATATATGTATGTACATTATGTATGTGTGTGTACACACACATATATGCTCATATACACGTGCATACATACATTTTTGAATCCAGTCTTGATAATAGAAAAGTACCTGGAGGTTTAATAAGGTACATACAATGAAATTTTACTTTGTGGTCTTCCTGTACCCCATACTGAAAATCTGTGTAGTTAAAATTTTTATTATATGAATGTTGTTAAAATAGCTTTGCTTCAATTTTAGTATTACCTAAAGACGTTAAACCAGATGAAGAGGTCATTCGAGTCAAAGAGCAGAATCTCTTGGAGCTTGCTAAAGCACTTGCAGAATCTGGTAAAGCTAAAGGTAATTTGCCTTTTCTTGATTGGTGTGACATTTTTTTTTTTTTTTTTTTTTTTTTTTTTCAAAGTTTGATACTGTAGTATTGTGAAACAATTAGTATTATATATCTGTTATTTTGATATATTAGGTAATTAAGTATATTTTAATACTGTGAGATAGCTGTGATTGTATATCTATAATTTTGGTAAATTAGTTAATTCATTACATTTCTGTTAACTTTATTATTTCCACAAATATATTTTCAGCATTATGCAATGTGGTCACTGTTAAAGTTTGCTACAGTGAGCTTATAAGACAAGGTGTGCGGCTAGAAAATATTCTTAAAATTTGAAAGTAATAAAAAATGAATAAAATACGTTATAGGGATTATAAATAAAGAGATTTTTCTATTCTTAAGGTATTGAAAGTAATAAAAAATGAATAAAATATGTTATAGGAATTATAAATAAAGAGATTTTTCTATTCTTAAGGTATTTGTAAAATGTACAATAGAATATGAAAAAATCTGAAAATTTTGTACTCGTAATACTCAAATCTTAACTGGTAGTATAATTAAATACATGTGTAAGAATAAAGAATATGGTTTTTAAATTATGGGTTCAGTAAATGGGATTGATCTGAATGTTCTTGTAAGGAGGCTTAATTTAACCCATGTACACAAATGTAGTAGGATGGGTAATGATACAAATTCCAAGTAGCCATGAGCTGTGGTGTGTAATGAGCAAGTTGCATAGTGATTATACAAAAAACATTATCTGATGAAGCATGAACTCTTTGCATGCCTTCACCAGGGGTTAGCTAGAATGGGTTCCTTCCAGAGAGCTGACTGAGTTGGAAACAATTGGATCTGATTTTGGAAATTATGAAGACTGTTACATCATGATATGATACTTTAGGTTCATATTAGTGAGCTATAAGGTCATGAAGTCGGTTTATGTGATGGAATTTACTGAAAAGTATAATTTATTTGTAACTATGCAAGATGTTTTAACCCTCCAAGTAGCCAAGTGTTTAGCTAAGAATTGTTTATGTTACTTTGCAATCAAATATCTAATTCTAGCATTGTTATAATTCTGTGAAATGGGGGGGGGATTTTTGATGTCAAATGTTATATAATGATCTATATTGTATATTTACATCTTATTTAATTTGCAACTGTCATCTAATATTGAAAGCATTTTCCCATATACTTTAATTTATGTCATTCAAATTTTATTAATAACATGTTAAAATCCTTGATATTAAGTGACAAGTCAAAATTTAGAAATGAACTTTTTCTTTTAGAATTGGCCACCCTAATCAAATTAACAAGACCATTTCTGGGCTTGGTCAGTAAAGCAAAAGCCACAAAACTTGTCAGAGCTTTAGTTGATATGTTCCTTGACATGGAAGCCTCTACTGGCTTAGAAGTAAAGTCACTTAATTATTTTATTTTTAATTCATATTTAAGTGGTTAAAAACACTTGTCCAAGCATTTCATCATAATTACATTTATTTATTCATGAGATGTAATTTCCTAAGTAATTTTAAATATTTTGTATGATCTAGGTTGAAATGTGTCTTGAGTGCATTGAATGGGCTAAAGAAGAGAAAAGAAATTATTTAAGACAAGCCTTGCAGGTAATTTCATCTCAGGTTATTGAAAACGAAAAAATTTTGATTGACAAATTAGTCGGTATTCTCGACACAGCAATTATAGGACTTGAACAGCGGAACCTTGTAACTGAACAAGAAATTATGTCTGTTTATAGAATTAAAGAGAAAGTATTATCACATAAAACGAAGCAACTTAAACAACTTACATTGAAAGAAATGTTTAATAAAGTAAACAAATAAATATTAAGCTTTTATTTTTTGTAAATTTTGATACCCTTTAGATCACAATTGTTGTTTATTTCATAAATCACTGTTTCATATTTTTAATTTTATAATTTCTGCATGCCATCCTACCAGATTTAAACTGATGATCTATAATCCGGAATCGCCAAAGTCCCGACGAGTCCGGATTAACGACTTTTGACTGTATATAATAAACGCCAACACATATCACATCATGGTACATAACACTGCTATGAAAGGAAGAATTTTAATTAGAAACATACCTTTTATATTTATTTGATAACATAGACATAAAGATGAAAACAAGTTATGCAACTTAAGAAACAATAAGAAGTCCTTTAAGTTATTACAATATCATAAATAAGGCACTGATTAGGAAGTTAATATCATTTTTTCATTCTTTTACATCAGTAATAAGTTCTTCATTAAAAACTTTAGCAGTGAAAGTCAAAACAGATTTATTATTGGCACCTCTGATGCAAGGTCACACAAAAATTAACTTGATTTAGCAAATTTCTAAAACATTAAAATCAAAAGTAGTAAATTACAGTAACATATATTATAAAATTATTTTAATTACACATTAAAAAATTGTCTGAATTAAGAATTAGTGACTAAGCTTGTACAGCATTTTTAAATATATTTTATGTTGATAAATTGACAGCAATCTCAGTTAAATGAAAGGGCTGGAAATATAGTTACATGATTCATAAATACGGTCAAAATTATTCGTTAAATACCTAAATTGGTGCTTACCTTCTTCAAAATGTATATAAATACGATATATTTATGTTACTTTAAGGGAAACATTATATAATGCATAATTTCGATGATATTATCCTATGTTTATATTTTTTTTTACATTGGAGGCCGACTGACAGATTTGTCGACAATCTAATATAATAGGGTAAAAAAATAACATACGATTTTAAACCATGAATCGCGCATTAAAATTTAAATAAAAATTGCACTTCATAGTTATAATCACGCACAAAATTAAAATCAAATGTAAAATATAATTATTTAAACTTTACCCTTTCGCGATAATAACAATAAAAACAAATCACATCAGCATCTACTTACCGCCGTCGGTATCTGTGTATTAACTATACACATTCTGATATTCATTTTGTACATATAAATCAGTTTGTCATTAATTAGCAATACTTAAATGATAATACAAATTTCGCTGAAACATGAACACTTATTTTTTTAATAATTATGAAAACATACGAAGCTGAACTAACTTCAAAAGCGCACGGTCTTGCGTTCGGAATCTATTCCCAATGTCCACTAGCAACAACTGCCCTTAATTTGGATACAACATAGATGATGCATCGGCTCCCCTTGCTAGGGTCCTTATACACCCTATACTTTGATATAAGTTGCTGCTCACTCAGTAGATCTAAAACATTTTCTTTAGCACACTTCATTTCTGTTCTCGTGAAAGCACAAACAACACAGCCGCCATATTGATTCGATCGTTTTTCAGAACGATGAGTTCGAAGTGATCACTATGAGAACGATCGATCGCGAGCTCAGAGTGATCGTTGTGTTTCAATTGAATATCGAAACAGCAAAATCAATCGCAACTGATGACGTATGGCAACTAACGATCACTAAATGTTTCAATTGAATTAGGCCTTAAAGTAACTTTAAAAAAAGAAATGTGGCTGCATTTTTTAGATATTTTTCTTTTCATTAAATTTACAAGTTATTTAGAGGGTGACTGAAAAATTTTATCAATATTTATGTCTCCTGAATATTCTAATAATAATAATCATTACTTTTCAAATTAAAAAAAAAAAATTCTTATTAGCACAAAATGTCTTCGCAGACTTAAATCAGAATTTTCATCATTGATTTAGAATTGATGACTTTGATATTGCCAGACTAATTTGTATAAGGTTACGAAAAGAATTCTTGCCATTTCTGATATGACATTGAAAGAGTGAACCCCAACATAAATATAAGCCCCGTTCACAAGCAATGCTCCTTCGCACAGCTGCTGTCAGCAAGAGGAGAAAAAGGAGACATGAAAGAGTTTCGGCTTTAGGACCCGTTCAGAAGACCACCGTCTTCATTCCCTTTGCACCTAAGCCTCTGTGAACAATCACGTCTCCGAATTGGCATATTTCTAATACTGTTTGCACATTTTTAACATTGTTTACTGTTGTTAATTTTGTAATCGGTACTTTGCAACTGGTACTTGAACTTTCGTAATGGTTCCTGAAAAATATTTGCTTTTAATTATTATTATTTTATAAGCTGTTATTTAGTTCACTCTTGGTGCTTGTCACTATGGTTAAAAGATGGTAATGAATTTTTAAACTGCTTCCCGATAAGATATAGAACTCAGACTTTGTACATACACTGCTTTTGGATGTGGTGTCACGCTTTTGATTTTTAGAGGATTAGATTTTTTTCAAATTTAAAGTTGAAACGATTTTTTGCAAATATTAACAAAAAAACTGAGAATCTCAGAATATTATATATTATAGTTTGCACCATAACACACTGTGGAGGGAAAAAAAAAAAAAAAAAAAAAATTAATCAAATTTTAGTGTAATTTTTTAAAAAAAAAATATTTTGGGAGAATTTTTGAAAATCATTCATATTTTTAGACTTTTTGATGCCCATTAATTTTAAAATTTCATATCTAAAAATATAATGTATCGATTACAAACTTCCGACATTTTCACAGCTTATAAAACAAACTTTTCACATTTCAAAAAATGATAAAGGAAATTAACTGGATGATTTTTTTTTACTTTTTTGAAAGATATGCAATGAAGCAGAATGGGAAATATTGGTTCTTCTTGGGCATCAATTCGAAACATCGGTTTCAAAGTAATAATCTCATTATACCACACTATTTTTATGACATTATTTATACTATATAAGTTGTTATTAGTTCAGTGCAAGATTTTGAATTGCACTGAACTAATAACAACTTATATAGTATAAATTGAATAAATAGCACTAGGTTTGATTTATATATATGTGTGTATTGAAATTCAGTAATAAAATTTTAAAGATTTGAAATGATTAAATGTCTATTTAGACAGTTTGTATTCTTTAAACTGCAAATGCAAACTGAGAAACCTTATGCATTTTTTTCAATAAATCCTTTTACTTAAAGTTCTGAAACATATACAGGTATGGATTAAATTATTTATTATTTTTACTGCTTATTTAAAATTATATACTTTATAGAAACAAGGATGGGTTTTGCAAAATACTGAAAAGAAAAATTATTTGAAATGAAAATGTGACTGAGATCATACAGTCAAAAGTCGTTAATTAGGACTCGTCGGGACTTCGGCGATTCCGGATTATAGATCATCAGTTTAAATCTCGTAAGAAGGCATGGAGAAATTCTAAAATTAAAAATATGAAACCGTAATTTATGAAATAAAGTATAATTATGATCTAAAGGGTATCAAAATTTAAAAAAAAAAAAAAAAAAAGCTTAATATTTATTTGTTTACTTTATTAAACATTTCTTTCAATGTAAGCTGTTTAAGTTGCCTCGTTTATGTGATAATACTTTCTCTTAAATTCTATAAAACAGCATAATTTCTTGTTCAGTTACAAAAATTCCGCTGTTCAAGTCCCGTTAATTGCTGTGCCGAGAATACCGACTAACTTGTCAATCGAAATTTTTTTCGTTTTCACTAACCTCTCTGTCACATTCTTCATGTCTTTATCCATTTTTTGCAGCAATTCCACTTTTTGTTTGTTGGACATCGAAACATACTTTCGTTTTGTAGATCCTTTGGAAGTTCCAGCATCGGAAATTCTATTTGACATAATCGAAAGTTTCAAGTTTACTTTTATAAAATTGCTCTTACAGTCTGCAAAAAATAATAAGCGGGATCCAATTCGAAGTTTAAGGAACAACGCAGTCATTAACATTAACTGAAATATATAATTAGATAATTTTAGCTTACACCGTCCGTTGTACATTAAACGCGCAGGCGAAAACGTATTCTGCACTTGCGCACACGCATATGCGCAGTAGTCAAGGTCTTATGCGCACGCGTAAAACGCCTGTGCGCATGTGCCAATGCGGCGCATGCACAGAAAGGTTTTAGCTTTGAGGTCCGGATTATGGGTGTCCGAATTAACGACTTTTGACTGTATTTTTTTTTTTTTTTTTTTAAGATTTTAGATAAAAGTGTATTTTTTTTTTTTTCAGAAACTAATTCATTAATTTCAAAATCATTCTTTAAAGTTATTAAAAACACTAATAAATAAAATTGAAAAAAAACTGGGGGGGAGGGGAGACATTGAAAAAAAATTGTAGAAGAAAGACATTTTAATTGTAAAATTTTTCTTCAAAAATTTAAATTAAAAAAAATTACTAGCAAAAACTTTTTTCTGCGTAAAATTATTTTGTCACAAAACCATTTAATAATATTCATAAAAAGTAGATGGAAATGCTTAATTTAAAAAAAAAACAATTCAAAAGGTACCGAGTCCCTTGTCGCAATGAAGCTGATATGCATTTGTCTTAACTTTATTTTTAATTTGAACGATATTTCTGGAATACCTAGCATCAGATAACCTTGTTTGTAGACTAGAAGAGAAACACGCTAATGTGACAATCAAAATCGTAAAAACAACTTTGTATTTAGCGTAAGTATAATGAAACAATCGATTTCGAGGGCAGCTAAAGGTCCCTCCTCATCAGGAGAAAGAAATACCTAAAAAAAGAAAATAAAGGAGAAGGAGTCTCAGAAACACGTGCTCCTTATCAGCACTGCACGTGGTTATAACTGGATTTTTAATCAGAGTTGCACTGGCCGCCTACTTTTACTGAGCCAGGCTATCTGATCAAGCATAAAGGGCAAGAAAAATTTGCGCCTGGCTCAGTAAAAGTAGGTGGCCAGTGCAACTCTGATTAAAAATCCAGTTATAACCACGTGCAGTGCTGATAAGGACCATGTGTTTCTGAGACTCCTTCCCCTTTATTTTCTTCTTTCTAGGTATTTCTTTCTCCTAATGAGGAGGGACCTTTAGCTGCCCTCGAAATCGACATTATACTTACGCTAAATACAAGGTTTTTTTTACGATTTTGATTAACCTTGTCTGTATTTGTCTATAATTTCCGTATCTTGTACAGTTCTATCAAATTTTTGGGGTGATGCTATCATATCCCCGGACATTATCAGCGTGATTGTTTCGCTGACAGTCCAACGAGCAGTAACTAAAATTAAGTGAACCGCGCAGTATAGTAAGGGAAATCTCCTCATTTGCCCTGCTCCCGAGAGGTAAGGAACATTTAACCAAATTCTACCTCCAATTCGGCGAGGCAGTTAATGTTTGTCCCATGTGAATGTTACACTTTGGAAGAACCGGTTTTTGCTACCGGTTGAACCTGCTCTTGGGAACAGGGCTATAGTCACCAAACCTGGTGATAAAGTGGTTAGGATGGGAGTTTGGACATTGACCAACAGTATAAAAGTGCGTTGCATCGGTATTTCAAACATAACTCACACAGAAACTAATTAAAATGGACAGATCATGGGCGCTTGTTCGGAGTTGTTTGCTGTATGATTTTTTTAAAGTGGGCCTGTCAGCAGCAGAATAAAATCGCCAAATTTGTCAGGCCTTTGAAGATGATGCCATTAATGAATGAACGGCTAGGCAATGGTCCCAGAAGTTAATGTCAGGGAATATGTCTCTCAGTGATGCACCACGCAGTGGTCGGCCACAAACAATGGACGATAAAAGCCTTGAGAGCAGCCAAACATGTGGTGAGCTTGCTGCACACTTCCAAGTATCTAATGAAACGATCAGTCTCCATTTGCATCACATATGAAAAGCATACAAGCTGAGCAAGTGGGGTTACTCCACTCACTGTCCAATGCAAACAAGCAACAGTGTTGCTTCTTGTTTGTCATTGCGTACTCGTCACTGCAATGCATCCATATTTGATAGAGTACTCACCAGCGATGAAAAGTGTATCCAGTATGACACAACCAGGCATTCCAGACATTGGTTGTCACCATGGGATCCTGTGCCTCACACTGCAAGACCCTCTCTCCACCTACACAAGATCATGCTCTGTATATATGATGGACTAGTCACCAAGTGGTGCACTAATGAGCTCCTGCCAGTGGGCCAAACCATCATGGCAGGTCTGTACTCGCAGCAGGTTGCACGTGTGCATCAGGCACTGCTGCATAAAGACTGATGCATTGGTCAATCATAAGGGAGTACTCCTTCATGACAGTGCGAGGATGCATGTGGCTAGGGGGGGCCAGGGAACACCATCCAGCGACTGGGCTGGGAGACACTACACCATACTCCCCGGATCTCGTACCAACAGACTACCACCTTTTCCATTCCCTAGACAATTATCTTTGTGGGAAATCCTTCAACAACCAGCCAGACCTTGAAAAGGCGCTTGTCCGAGACTCCTGAGTTTTACTATGATAGCATCGCACAGCTAGCCACTTGTTGGCAAAAAGGCACTAGATGCCGATGGTGATTACTTTGAGGATTAGCGGTGATTATTATTTGTTTTATGACTTTTTCTTTCAGACTGTGCAAAACGACAGAAACTTTTTTTAGTTGTAAATAATTTTATTTTTGGTTTATATTTTTCATTTTTGTATTTAGGATGAGGTTTGAGCTATGAAAAGGTTTTATGTTAAATTATGTACAGAACAAAATATCCGATAAGATAAAAATAAAGCAATATTTTATACAAGAGGCACATATAAATCAGTACATAATTAGTTATTGTTTTCTGTGCACAGTATACATTTTAAAATTAGAATTGAAAAGAGTAATAATAATTGATAAGACTAAAATGATTCGTGCTTTTATAAGTTATTTTGTTGAAGATATTAGTTTTGATGTATTTGATGCTCAGACACTTATAGAGCTTCTTGTTACGCATGAAGTAGCAAGTATTTATTAATCACGCAATTATTGAAGAGCATTTTGTAATGTACAGAGTTTGGTTTTGTACAAAATTATAATTTATGTTCCTATTGCTTATGGTTGTCATACAGGTAAAGCATATGAATATATTGGTTTGATGATTGCTTTATAAATATGCAGTTTATTTTTTTTAAAAAATTGGAAGTTTTTCCCAGTACATGATATGAAAGAACTGAGGATGCCATAAGCAGTGTTGATGATTTGATTGATATGGTCAGTTATGATCTCTATGAATAAAAATTCATTGCTATGTGGCTCAGGTGCCTATTGAAAAGTGTAAATCAGAAGTTTTATTCAGATTATGTAATGTGATACTGATTCAGTCAGCTATTGATTGTTCGTTCACACTGCAGATGGACCCACTAGTGGGCGAGCAATAAACTTGCTGAGCACTGCTAGTTTGGTCTGAGGTTCAAATCCTAGTGAACAGACTGGCTGTGTGGGCATTTCTGGTTTTCCTCATGTTTATGAGCCAATTTCTCTTAGAAACAAAGGCCTCTCCTTCTCTCAGGCAAAAATCGCTTCATGGTAGGAAAAGCTTAACAGACCAAACTCTGAACTCACGTTTACTTCCTCTGCATAATGCAGCTGAACCCCAGGGAAGATCATTCATATGTTTGGACTGAAGAGGCTTGGCTAAGACCTAGAACTTGGGGCACTGGTAGTTCAGCTGATCTGAGTATTCTGGTAATGTTCTTCGGTGATGGGTTGCATGCATAGTACTGGCAAAGGCATTATTAGCATCCAGTCAAACTTCATGATTGTATCCATAGTGTGTCTCTTCCCTGAGGTGATCTCTAAGACCTGTGGTTTGATGTGCATCCGGTGGCCAAATTTAGCCCCGGGGTGTAAGTGAGAGTGCTTTAAAAAATGCGCTGTGAGATTGAAGCGCCCTGCAGTGTAACAAGTGAGTGGTTTAAATCTGTGGACAATGTATGGCCCTCCCACCTCACAGGTTGTCATCTTAATTGCATTAATTTATAGGAAGAGATAACAAAACTTGATTGATTCCCCAGTAGAAAAATATAGCACCAACTACATCGCAGATATACTTGTATGAAGAAGCCGTCTCAGTTGAAGTTACCAACTTCTTCAAAATGCGCAACATGCACGTAACAGTTCTTCAGTTTTAACAAGCAATATCACAGGTTTCATAGGCATTCTTTTGGTTGTATTCCAACTTCTAATTCTTTTTATGGGTTAATCATGATATGTTTCAAACTCGGTTTTAAAATGTTTGTTTACAGGATTTGCTTGCATTAGATGAGATTACAGGAATACAATGTTTTACTGCAAAACTGCTTAAACAAACAATCACTTTGAATTACTTCTCAAAGTGACAGCGACCAAATTTTTAGCATATTAAAAGGAATAAAAGTCTGCTTGTAGGTAGGCATATTGATTGATTTTCAGGATGTATGTGCAATTAAAATGAAAGTTAAGTATAGAATAAACAATAATTTTTTTAAATTATAAGTCACCATTCTTTTTCCTCTCTAAAAAAATCTACAGACTGTACCAAGGGGATTGAATTAGTATGTAAGTACTGAAATGTTTTCTTAGTGTAATGTATAAGTATTGCAGACTTTTTTTAAAAAAAGGAAACTAATAATTTGAATTGTATGTTTCATATTTTTTAAAAATCCAACAGTTTTTTAGGATTATTGAATAGTTGTTCTGTTTTGAAATATTTTTGTTTTTATAGCAGTTTATATAAGTTTGCTGCATTTATCATACATAATACATTTCTGATTATCTTGCAGGCTAGACTTATTTCACTATATTATGATGTTGGAAAGTTTACTGAAGCTCTTAGCCTTGGTATGACATTTTCTTTGATCTCTAATAAATGGACTCTTATTTTATTACATGCAGCGAATAATTAATATTTTTAATGTAACAGGAAGTGAACTCTTAAAGGAGCTGAAGAAATTAGATGATAAAAATCTTCTTGTAGAAGTTCAGTTATTGGAAAGCAAAGTGTATCATTCTCTGAGTAATTTTCCTAGAGCAAGGTAAAGAAACTTAATGAGTTGCTTATGTATTGAGAATTTTGTATCTTGTTTGTTTGCAAATCATTAAATGTTTAGAAGTTACTCGCTTGTGTGTTTGTGGTAACTAGGAAGCAAGAAAATCATCAAACACAAAATGAGCAGTAGGGGGAAAAACCATCAAGTAGAATACATGGAAATAAAAAAACTGCCATGGAAAATTATACTTGCATTTATTTCTTCTATACACCTTTTAACCTTTACGCTAGGGCGTTCAAGTGAAACATTCGCAGGGCGGCCATAATGTGCTACAAGCGCTCTTCTACATTTTAAAACTTTTAAACGTTTAAAGCGTTTTCTAAACGTTTTCTTGTTTGAGTTTTTTATTTTTGTTTATTCTAATACTTCTTAGAGTGTAGCACTAATCAGGCATTCTATTTCTATATGAATTTGCCCCAGGTTTTATGAATATTCACACCATTTTACATAAGATACAAGACAGTGAGAGATGGCTTCAATGTCTGCTGAGCAAAAAAGAGAAAAATTGAGGTTGTGAATTGGAAAGACAAGAAGAATATACGTTTGATGAACACAGTCCATAATAACTCGATGATTGATGTTGGAACATGGAAAAGAACTGTAAAAAAAAAAAAAAAAAAAAAAAAAAAAAAAAAACCAACAGTTGTAAGATCACAACAACAAAATGGGAGGAGTGGACCTCCTGGAACAGATGTTATCAAATTATCCTACTAATAGAAATAAGCAGAGATATTATTTTGCCATTATGCTTTACTTCCTTATAATTTTACTTAATATTCATTGACATTCATCCACTATATAAGTTATGTATGGAAAGTTATGATGTACAGAGAAAACAACATTACACGCTACGAAAAACAGACGGCCGCTGGGGAGAAATTTTCGCGGATAGGAGAGGACGGCAAAAGGTTATTTCTTGCTTCTGCTGGCCACATCTCTGCAATTACTGTTGGCTGCAAAATGTTTTTCTTTTTGTATCTGTCAGTGTGACATAAATTCCCATTCTTGAAAAAGCATTTCTCAAACAAATGTAAATTTAAAAAAAAAAAAAAAAAAAAAAAATTTTTTTAACCATAATGTAAAGTTTGTGCCGTCTTGTATGTATGTTGCATGAGAAAATATCAGTTTTATGAAAATCTTAATTGTTTATCAAAGTAAATGAAAAGATCTATGAGGGAATTACTGAAGTAGTAAAAAATAGAGATAACGCCATGTTTGCTTGAATGAAAAATAGTGTTCTCTTTAAAATGTATTTTAGGATATTATGATAATCTTGTATGTATAGGATTTAAAAATTTTATTAACGTATTTCATTCCATAATTTGTTCGAGTTAAAGCATACTTTTGAGGAAAGCTGTCAGATTTCCGATGACAATTCGCACCAAACTTTCAGGGACCATCAAGCATGCAATCAAAGTAGCAGTTTTGAAGTGTGGTATTTCACAATTGCCTGCAGTATTTTCACTAGATTGGTAAACATAATATATTTTTGATATTTGAAACATTTAATTGTCGCATACCACTTAATAAAATTGTACTTCATAAATACATGTATATCACTTTGCGGCATGGCAGTAAGGCAGCAAAAGTGCTGAAAGCAAAGTTAGATGCACACCACAAATAGGTAATGATGTTTCTAGAATCACAGCCAGAAGTGCTATGTATGTCACACACAGTAAGATGTGTAAGGAAATATGTGCTGGATTAAAAACTAGGATAGCTGCTTCTTTTACCTATTTTTTAACCTTTTACTTACAATTCTTGTACTGTTTAAAGTTGGAATTTCAATAAGAAAATTTGTAGGTTGTCTACTTAGGCCTAAAGGTATATTCAGGCATAATTTTATAAAGTTTGCACTCGCTGTTTTGATTTTGTGGGTGTTTCCTAAGCAAGAACACTGCACCAACCAGAGCTGTTAAAAATGCCCCTAAGCGAACATCGCAGTGAAGTGTGTAACTGAGTAAAAGCTTTTGCATATGAATGCAAAAACACTGTATTACATCTGTTTAGCTAGCTGATTTAGCATAACCTAGACTATACCATGGAGAGGTCAGCTACTCTACACCCCATCCTTCCCTCCAAAAAAAAAAGTCCTGTTGAGATGATTTTTTTATGAAATAACGAGATAAATATTTACAGTTCCTTTCTCTCTCTCTCTCGCTATATATATATATATACACACACACACACAAGACCTATGTAAAAAAATATTTACAATCCTCTTTTTTTTTTTTTTTTTTTGGCTTTGTAAAATTTTTTAAAGCTTGTTGCATCCTTTTTTGGCAAAAGCCCAAACCAACATTGCAGGCGTTTCACATGAATCTGTTTTTATACAGCTTCGTTTTCTTTCTACTGTACACACATTGTCTGTGCATACTCTTCACAGGAATGTGTTCGACCTTGTCATATTGTTTACCATCAGAAACCTTTACTTTCAAACTGGGGGTATCTTTAAGGCTTCGTCTCTACGATGTAGTTGTTTCTGACTGCTTCATGGCCCAGAGGAATTACAGCAAATTCAGGTGGAATTCTTTGGCTATTTTTATTTTGTCCCCCTTAGCATTTCATTTAGTATGTAGCTGTAATTAACAGCTACAATGCCATCACTTCATTCCTCAGACAACAACCATAAAAAAAGGGAGGAAGTGAATAGTTGTTTTCTTTCATCATCATGTTGGTTGTGTTAGAGCTGTGGCACAGTGTTTGGGTTTAATTAACAACTAATTTTATTCAAAGATTGTTCGTTTTGTTCCTGTACAAAAAATAAAAATATTATAGAATAAATAGTTTAGAATACAGCCAACAATATAACAAAAATTTTTTTGAAAATTTTTTTTTGACAAAATCTTTTGTATGCAATATTATATACAAAAAATTTCTTGTAAATATGAGAATTTTAAGTAATACATCATAGCTGAAGATTGTAATTGCCTTCTGTGGTGATGCCATTTATGATTGAAAAGGGTAATTAAATTTTCATCCTTTTATAAAATAAATAAATAACTGAATTTAACGATTTGAGAAGCTGGCCAAGTGGTATTTTCCCTGTATGGGAACACTGAGCAACAAAGGGTTGGTGCTGAATTCAGATCTTCTGTGATTTTAATGCTGAAAAATTAATACCATTTAAAAAATAATAATAATACCTGTCTTAAGAGCCACTGCAGTTTGCTACACTTTGTTCAGTGTTGTCTTTTATTTCGTGACAGTTGCTGCTCAAGTCTCCCCACCCCTCTGGCAGACTCTAAATTCAGAGCTTTTGCCATCCTGAGCAATATCTAAGTTAGCAATCTCTCTCAGTACATGTCAAAAATACTTAAAAAAATCGGTAAAAAATTTTTCATATCTCAAAGAATAGTTTTCATTTTATTTAACACTGTTTCATAAAATTCTGTTTTCTACTTTCGTTATTGTTTGGCTTTACTTTCTAAACTTTGATGGTATGAGCTTTTTGAAACAGTTACTGTATTTGCTCATGTATTCCTCCCCCTTATCTTTCTAATTTTATTGCTTGAAAATGGAAAGAAAAAAATATCCAGAATATACTATTTCTAAAGAGACAGCTTAAATGATAACCATAGCACATTGAAAAGCATACATAAAGACAGACTATTATTCTATTATGTATTTCAAAGGACTTACCAACTTCAATAATATTTTTTTACTGACACAAAGTACACTGGTCATCAAAATTAATGTTGTTCACTAAGTTAATGTTGCAACTAATGCCCAATGCTGTAATCACTTATGTTAAAAATTAAATTCAATGAAACACAAAATTGCACTTTCGAGCATACATTACTGCCAGAAATATGCAAATTATGTGACTGACAACGTAGTGCGCAATGAACGTATGTTGGAATTCCAGCCTGTAGTGTTGTTTCTGAGAGTGACCAGTATTCAGTAGTTATGGCTCAAGGTCATGATTTAAGTGAAGGTCAAAAGTGGTAAATAATTGATATAATTGAAGGAGGTCGAACACAAATGAAGGTCGCCCAAGATTTGAGTATCCCTCAATGTATCATATGAAAGATTTGGACACAAGGGGTCAATGATAGACAGCCTGGTCAAGGGCAGCCAAGAGCAACAACTGCATCAGAAGACTGTTTTATATCATTGTCCGCTCAAAGAATCCATGAAGCGACTACAAGAGATTTGGTTTTAGACCTTCAAGCTGGCACAGGAACTGGAATTAGTCGTTCTACTGCTGCACAGAAGCATAAGGAGGTTAGACTGTATACAAGAAAAACCAATGGCTTGTGTCCCACTCACTCCACCTTCCGGGAGGGGGGGCCTGTTTAAACCGGTGCCATCGTCATGTTCCATAGAGTTGAGAGTATTGAGCCGGAGTTTAGGAATATAAATTTATATTCACTTTGCATCTGTAGATAACAGACATAAGTTTTTTGCACCAGGTAAGAGAGTTAAACTAATAGTGCGATGTGTAAGAGAAAAGTTTTTAACGGAAGAAGAATACGAGGTGTGACAAAAAAGATACTGCTCCAATAAATCATTGTACTTACAGAATCAGTTCTCCATGACATTATCACTTTCAAAATAGGCCTCTTCAGCATTCACAGACTTCTGCGTTAGGTGCTGCCATTGCTGGTAACAGTTCTGGAACAAGGTTTTAGGAAGGCCCTTCAGGAGATTCTTTATTTTTGCGTGCAACTGAGGTAAAATGGCTTTCCTTTAAGCAAGATTTAACTTTAAGAAATAAAAAAAGTCGCATGGAGCCAAATCAGGTGAATAAGGAGGATCCTCCATCACAGTAATGTTTTTGCTAGTCTGAAACTGTTTGACAGTGCCGTGTGAGGGGGTGCATTGTCCTGGTGCAATAACAATCCTTCACCCGGCCTTTTCTTACGAAGTCTTTTTAGTACTTGAATGTAGTAGTATTGATTAACAGTCTGACCACTAGAAACCCGCTCAATCGTTACAATTCCATTAATGTCGAAGACAATTGACATTGCCTTGAATTTTGATTTTAACATGTGTGCTTTGTCCTTTCCCCCTGAAAACTGCTTATGCCATTCAAACACACGTGAACGAGACTAAGTTTCATCTTCAAAAGCCTCGGTTAAGATTTGAAATGTTTCAATAGCTGATTTCTTAAGTTTCACAAGAAACTTGATGTTTATTCTCTGTTTGTTTTTTAAATTTTTTTTTTTTTTTTTTTCGGCAGAATGCAGTTGCACATGTTCACTCAATGATGCAGTAGTCCCAACTGGTGTGATCAGTTCAAGTCGAAACTAGCCGCATGGATAGAGATGTATGGGATGACATCACCAAAGCACTTGCCAACTCTTTTTTTTCAAGCTACACAGTCTCTCTTTTTGTGTGTGTGTGTCACACCTTGTATATTCGAATTGTAAAGCCCATGAGTGACTATTTTGACAATGAAATTTTCTTAGAGATTGAATTGGAAGTTTGTTTTTCTTTCACCTTACAATCTAGCAGAACAGTGGCTACTCCATTATGAATTCAATCTGTTAAGTAATTGAAGCATCATGAATTTACAGGAATTGCAGAAGTAAACTTAATTCATTGTCCCTGAGTTTAGGCATTTTGTGAAGGTTAATGGCATTGTGATTCTGAAAAAGTTTGTAACCTTGAATAGAAACTACCTTCGTCACAGATTGCAGATGCTCATCAGTCAATCGAATTCTTTTCTTATTAACTTTCAGTTGTCCCCCCAAAAAAAAGTTGTTCACTTATTGATGTATTCCCAAACAAAGCAAAAATTGTAACTAAGAGTATTTATTTTTTGACAATTACAAATAAATGTTAACAAAATCTGTATCTTCAGATCTTTGAGTAAGATTAATATCACATTGTAATGAAGTAGCTCCATTTATAGATTTTCTGCTGCGTTATTCACGTTCATTTTAAAAGGAATTGAAAATAGTACAAATTCGGACTTCAAATATTCAAAATCTCAAACATCTTTGCAACAAATACATAATTCAAATGTCTTTGCAGGCTGCTTAAAATTGCTTCATGGTCCATTTGCAACCTGCGGTCTGATAATGAAATCTGTATCTTCAGATCCTTAAGATTAATATAACATGTTAATTAAATAGCTCCATTTATGCATTTTCTGCTGTGTCAATATGTTCATTTTTAAAGGAAATGAAATTGATACAAACTCAGGCTTCAAATAATCAAAATCTCTTAAATCTTTGCAGCAAAGACATAACTGAAATGCCAATGAAGCAGTTTTCACATTCTGCATGAAATTGCTTTATTGTCCACATTCAACCCGTGGGCTGAAAATATAAGACCACTTATCTGGATGTTGTCAGGAGTGCCATGCTAATGTTTATTTTGCACTGCTCCCAACAGTGTGATTCTTACCTTAAATAAGATCAGCACTTGAACAAAAAAGCAACTGAAAAGCTAGATGGGATCCTACTGAGCTTATGTACATTTTTGGTACCACTTCATAGCTATTGTTGACATGATGTAAACAGACTGCCACTATAGTTTGTATGCAATTATGACTGTTAACAAAAAAGAATTTTAATTATTTTTAAAGTTTTAATAATGTACTGAATGCACTATATCAGAAAAGACTGACTGCTAAAACTTTAGTTTTTTAATGTTCTTTGAACCAGATGACTGGACTGGAAAGTAACTGTATATTAAGTGAAGCTTAGTCTATTTTTTTATAGTTTTATGGTGTGTCTTGTAAATTCCCTTGTGTTTTTAAGCAATGACAAAAAATTATCTTGTGTTTTTAATTAATGAGAGAAAATACATAAAACTTTTCTTGATTAGAGCTGCACTGACCACAGCTAGGACAACAGCAAATGGAATATATTGCCCTCCAAAACTTCAGGCTGCTTTAGATCTACAATCAGGAATTTTGCATGCAGCTGATGAGAAAGATTTCAAGACTGCTTTCTCATATTTTTATGAAGCATTTGAGGGCTATGAATCAGTGGATGATCCAAAAGCTATTGTTGCTTTGAAGTATATGTTATTATCAAAGATAATGCTTGGAGAGTAAGTTATTTAAAAAATTATTTTTTTCCGTGATTTATCTTCGTTAATTTTATGAATTGTTGTGTCTTTATGGCAATTCTAAATAATTAGAGTATGAATTCAAATTCATTTTAAATACCAGCTGTTTTAAATTAAACAACTTTTTGTATTGCTAAAAAGCCATACAGTGAAAAGTCGTTAATCCGGACTCGTCGGGACTTCGGCGATTCCGGATTATATAGATCATCAGTTTAAATCTCGTAAGATGGCATGCAGAAATTCTAAAATTAAAAATATGAAACCGTAATTTATGAAATAAAAAACAATTATGATCTAAAGGGTATCAAAATTTACAAAAAAAAAAGCTTAATATTTATTTGTTTACTTTATTAAACATTTCTTATGTGATAATATTTTCTCTTTAATTCTATAAACAGACATAATTTCTTGTTCAGTTACAAAGTTCCGCTGTTCAAGTCCCGTTAATTGCTGTGCCGAGAATACCGACTAACTTGTCAATCGAAATTTTTTCATTTTCACTAACCTCTCTTCATGTCTTCATGTCTCACATTCTTCATGTCTTTACCCATTTTTTGCAGCAATTCCACTTTTTGTTTGTTGGACATCGAAACATACTTTCGTTTTGTAGATCCTTTGGAAGTTCCAGCATCGGAAATTCTATTTGACATAATCGAAAGTTCAAGTTTACTTTTATAAATTGCTCTTACAGTCTGCAAAAAAATAATAAGCGGGATCCAATTCGAAGATTAAGGAACAACGCAATCATTAACATTAACTGAAATAGATAATTAGATAATTTTAGCTTACACCGTCCGTTATACATTAAATGCGCAGGCGAAAACGTATTCTGCACTTGCGCACACGCATATACGCAGTAGTCAAGGTCTTACGCGCACGCGTAAAGCGCATGTGCCAACGTGGCGCATGCGCAGAAAGTTTTTAGCTTTGAGGTCCGGATTATGGATGTCCGAATTAACGACTTTTGACTGTATTACGTTATGCTGTGAGATTATTGAGAGGTCAGATATTAAATACGATGTATAGACATATTCCATATAGATTATTGTTTAGTATATACTGTGTGGCCTTTACTTGTATTTTCAGTATTTGTGTATTAACTACTACTTAGGTCAATTCTAATAATGATTTACTATATTTATGCAGCATGCGATGGAAACAGAAACAAAACAAATTGGTGTTTAGCTTCTATTGTATTGTCAAGGATTATGACCAGAAAATTTTGTCATTGATAAAGAAAACCTAAAAGAAAGAAGCTAAGCAATATTAGTTATAAATGCTGTTATTTTCTTATTTTCATAAGTTTTATCTTTGTATTTAAAGATATCCCGATTCATAATGCACTTTTTCTCAGTACTGGATATTCTTTTGATTATTTAGTGAAGGAATATCAATATCAAAGGAATTCTTTGATTATTATTTCATAATTCTTTTCTTTGGTGCATTGCACACAAAATGTATATTTTCATGCCACCTTTTGAATTTAGTGACGATTTTTCTGCTTTTCATCACTTCAGTATTTATTATTGCTATTGACTTGAACACTTTGAAATGTACCTATTTTCTCCATTCATTTCAATTTGTTATACAAGGCAAAAATGGTTATGAATATATCATTATATGTGCAATGGGGTATAGTCATCTTTAAACATGCAGCAAGTATGTAGAAATCAGGCTTATATCAATATGATTGTTTTGTATTTGGTTCTCTAGGGGTTGCAGCGAGCCTTTCATTTTTACCTATTTAGTTTATGAATATAAAAGAACTATTTTTTATGTTATTTATCAATATCTTTTGTACTTTTTGATGTTAAGCTTATAAAAACATTTTAACAATAATCAAACTCTAAATAAATGTTCAAATATTTTTCAAGTTTTGGGGAGAAGGGAAGAAATAATCTAGCAATGGTGAAAGAGGTGCATTGGGAACAAAACAGGTTAAGCATCATTATTCTTTCTCTTTGCATAGCTTATGAGCTTAATATTTCATGTCTTTTAAAAGAGTGTGTCGATTTTCATTTCAGTCACACTTATTTGTAGCTTCAGAGGAGCATTTATATGTTATGAGTTTAAGGAAAGCATTTAAATGGATTATATTTGTCATGTTAATTGCATAATTGCCAGATATTTTATCCTTTCTAAAAATTTAATTTTTCTCATCCAGCTTCATTAAAAATTAAGAGTTTTTGTATCAGAACATCAAAAACGTTTGTCTGATCTGTTTGTTATGAGTAATAGCTGATTCTTTTTTTTTTTTTTTTTTATTTATGGAACAGTTACTGTTTTATTTCTTAAGATAGCTTTTATAAAATACTTTCAGGCTTTCAAAAAGACATGCAATCTTGTGGGGGAAATTAACATTATAATTTTCCTAAAAAGTAGTGACAAATGTTTCTGTAAGAATAGAGCTACTTAAAGTCTTTGAAAAAGTGTGATGACATTTTCCTGTTTGATACATTAAATAAATATAAAAGATGTATATTATTATGAAGGTGGCTTTGCTAGTAAGATATATAAGGCATAAATAACAAATGTGTTCACTAAATTTATATTGCATGCAATTTTTTCCCCTTTAAATGAGAAATCAAAATTAAGTGTACAGAAGGAAATCCTATAAGCAAGATTGGGTTTCATCTGAATAGCGGAAAAAATTAACAATCCTTTAGCTGTCTTACAGATGCACCTGTAGGACAGGTAAAGGAGTTGAATTTATATAAAAATAAATATTTTATTATTTCTGCAATAAAATGCAAAGTAATTTTTAAAAAATTATCTCTGATTGGTTATCCCAGTAAGAAGATCATTTGAAGTTAAATGAATAAGTGATTTTTTTTTAAATAATAATTTATCAGGATTTCAAATGTAAGAAATGAAGTATTGTATGTATCAGAAAAAAAATTCTGTTCTGTTATGCTGTGTTAATGATAATGTAGATTTCAATTTTGTTTTTGTACTTTCAGTTAAAATGTTAATTTTCTATTTTTATTGCTTTTATGCACTATAATTTACACTCACGTTTGTGAAAATTGCAACACCATGAAGGACTTACGCGAGTGAGCTGAAATTTTCAGGAAATGCAAAGTAGCGCATGATATGCAAATGATTAGAATTGCAAATCCGTAGCGCATGCGTATGCTGAGCAGCGCCCTCTGAACGGCTGATGGATCCGAATAAATAGACGGCTGTAGCGAGGCGTGTATGGTTATCGGTGGTTATCTGCTAGTGGTAAAACTCAATCTGTACTTATGCCTCGTCGACGAAAGAGAGCGAGATTTGAACAACTTACAGAGTTTGAACGAGGGAGAATCATCGGCCTTCGTGAAAGCTGGATTGTCGTATCGTGCAGTAGCCTCTCGTGTTGCAGCGTAAACAGCAGCACAGTGATGCGCGTTTGGAAGCAGGGACGGACGAGTGTCGGACAACTCGGAAAATCCGGGAGTGGACCCCGAAATGTGACGTCAGCTCGCGATGATAGACACCTGGTCCGCATGGCGCGGACGGACCGTACAGCTTCCTCTAGACAATTGGCAGCACTGTGGCCAATAGCTACAGGTGTTTCATTGTGTGCTTCATCAATTCATAGACGTCTGCTGCAGTGTGGACTGCGCGCACGGACTCCTTTTACAGGATCCCCTAACGCACGACCATCGCCGCCTGCGGCTACAATGGGCCAATCAGCATAGAGACTGGCGTGCTGATTGGCAGCATGTCGTGTTTTTCTGACGAATCCCGCTTTAATTTGTGGTACCATGATGGCCGCATTCGTGTCAGACGCTATGCCGGTGAACGCCACCTTCCGGAGTGCATTATCGAATGCCACAGTGGCGAACACCCGGAGTTATGGTCTGGGGCGCCATAGCATATCATAGACGATCTCAATTGCTACGAATTGTGGGCAGTCTGAACAGCAACTGGTATATCCGTGAAGTTCTACAGCCCGAAGCTGTTCCCTTCCTTCAAAGCTTGCCAGGCGCGTATTTCAACAGGACAATGCCCGCCTCATACTGCTCAGATTGTTAAATCCTTCTTTGAAGCGCAGCAGGTACGCTTCTTCCTTGGCCTGAGTGTTCCCCGGATATGTCGCCAATGAACATGTGTGGTATGTCATTGGTCGGCGTCTTGCTCGTGATCCTCGTCCTGTTGCGTCTGCAGACGAACTTTGGGTACGGGTACAAACGTATGAATGCTCTTCCTCCTCAGACATTCAACTTTGTTTGACTCCATGCCACGTCGTGTAGGAGCAACTTATTGTGGCGCGTGGTGGCCACACAAAATACTGATTCTGATCTCTTGTTCTTGTTGTTTGCTTTGAACATTTAATCATTTATTGTACCACTACCACTCAACTGTGTATTAAATTGCATTCAATTATGACGATTCCTTCTTGGTGTTGCAATTTTCACAAACGTGAGTGTAGTTTCAAAATCCATGTAAGCTTACAAATAAGGCTAAATATATGTATAATGAAAATACTTAATTGGTTGATACTATACTAGTGTTATATATGAATATAATAATATGAAGTAAATAAAAAAATAATTTCTTTTCATTATCTCCATCATAGAAGAAATTTTTCAGCTGTACTCAAAATGCACCATCTTCAGAATCCCCCCCCCCTAGGCCATTTGCTGTGTGTTCAGTTTTGTATGGTAGGAAAGAATATTTGAAATTTTATGTAAGCTGTATAATGTAATAGAGATCAATTTCATTAAGAATAGAGAAAGAATTGCTAAATAAGTTATATAGTAAAAAATACCAGTAAATAGTAAAAAAATATTATAATCATAAAAAAAATTTTATGATGTTGTGAATTCAATTTTGTAATTTAATTTTCTTTTTTGAATTATATTGTATATTTTTATGCTTAGAAATTCAGATTCAGAATTTATCTAAATTCTTAGATGTAAAAACAAATCTCATAACACAATACATACATATATTTACTGCCAATGATGGTACCATTGTAAAGCTTGCAGATGATGCTAGTTAAGTATTATAGAAAATAAAAGTATTTAAGGTACTATTCTGTTAGAGTGGCATTAGTTAAAAATGAAGATAAAAGGAGAAAACAATGCTACAACAACATATCAAATATCAAGGCTCAAGAATTTAATGTTTGAAATATCATGACTCATTTTTTTGCCATTTTTTTAGTACGATGGGCCACACAATTTGGAAATTACCGAATGACTAAAAAGCTGCCATAAGATTTCTTCAAGACAAATGAGTAATCCATGTTAATTGACTTTGTTATCAAAATCATTCAATGAAGTTAACAGATAAATGCTCAATGACTCAAACAGATAAACAAAGAAACCAGACATTGTTACATATGTTCTTGCTGTGGGGGGGGGAGTATTGAGAACTAATAACAGGGTTTGAAGGCTCCTGTCTTTCTTGTCTCATTGCTGTTTATTTCATCTATCTGTGGTGTCAGGAATTGATGTTAATTGAATTTTGTCAACTTCAGATAGGAATCAGCCATAATACGAAAAGAGATTGGAATAACTACTTGAGGGGGGTATCCAACCCATGTTGCAAGGATACTGCATATTTACAAACATCCATGCCATCTCCAGCATTCGAAACTTAGCCCTTTGATATGGCAGTCAGATTCACTAACCACTATCCTATCTGGGTGGCAGTAATATAAATAAAAAACATGATTAAAATAAGTTCTTTTATTTAAATATATTTAAATGGTTTTTACAGCATGACTTTAAAATTATAGTTAATTATTTTGCAGCCCAGGTGATGTTCTATCAATTACTATGGGAAAACTAGCTTTGAAGTATGCAGGAATTGATGTTGATGCAATGAAAGCAGTTGCAGCTGCTAGCTCAAAACGATCTTTAGCAGACTTCCAAGAGGTAAATATTTATATTGTTTTTTATTTAGTTTATGGATTACTGGCTGCCAGTTTCATTTCTGGGCAGCGAAATCAATATCACTGATTTTATCATAAGAATTAAAATTTCTAATGGATGTGCAACCTCCTCTCTGTCTTCTAAAAAATGCATTTCTAAAATGCAACTCTGCCTGTTAGTATTAGAATATCTTTACTTTTCATGATATAAAAAACATTAGTGGTGTTTTCATCTATTTTAATTAAGTTTTATTGAAATGATTTTGTTTCATTCAATTCTGAAAAGCATAATTAAAGGTTTTCATTCATAAAATTGCGAGAATCCACTTAATTTTCACTTTTTATTCCAATTACAGTCACTACAGAAATATAAAGCACAGTTAGTTGAAGATCCAATAATCCGTGCTCACTTAGATGCATTATATGATACAATGTTGGAAAAGAATTTATGTAGGATCATTGAACCATATTCTAAAGTTCAGGTAAGTAATGAATCATAGCCTGATAAATATTAATATTTAAAATAAATTTTAAATGTAATGATATATTTAATATTTTAATGTAATGTGCAGAATGTTTATATCTATAACTGATCCATGTTAAAAATTTCATAATAATAATAGGCTGTGTTTGCATGCATTATTAAAAGTTTTTGTATATTTTTTTTCCATTGTAAATATGCATAATATATGTACAAAGAAAAAATGAAAGTGAATTTGATTTGAGGTGCAATCAAAAGATTTTTGAAATAAAAACTAGTAAAAATATTGTATATTTCCTACTATAAGTCAAGACTACTTTTTTCTTCAAAAATTTACACCTCTGTAAACTGAAATTTTAAAAAAATCCTGTAAAGTGCAAGCCTGTCATAATGAGGGCAAAATGTTGCCAATAATGTAAAAGGGGTAGAGTAGTATCCAATGAGAATGCTGTAAAGTTAAGTGACAGTGGTGATATTTTAACTCTTGTAGCCCTACCTGAAACTGGCACATTTTCCCTATTTATTTGCTGTCTTGTATACTATATGTGGTATTTTTGTCTGAAGGATGAGCGGGAAGAGAAATTCTTATATGGCAAATTCCAAACCACAGATGATCATCATGTTTGCTGAAAGTTATAAGAACAATGTGGATTCATGCATTTTTCCGAACTAAAAAACAAGTTAAAGGGAGGAGAAGGAAACATCCTAAATTAGCAGAGATACCAAAAGCTAGGATATCATTTTAAATTAGCCTTGCGTAAATTTTCCCAATACCAGATTTTGCATTTGACAACAGTGAAACAAACCAGCATTGTAAACAATTCAATTAATTTTTTTCCATGAAAGTAAGAAATATATTCTAACAAAATCAAAAAGTGCTAATTTGACAATTTATCACTTGCACATGGCTAACAGAAAAGTATCTGTGTTTTTTGCAAAATAAGCGAATCCATATTTAAGCCAAACCCCTGAATTTAGGGTTAGAAAAAATTGCAAAGATTCTCATCTTATACATGGAAATTTACTTTTTTATTTTATGGTCCTTTTTTATTGAATTTCCACATCTAAGCTGTGGTAATACTGAAAAAAAGCTTCTATCTGGCTGTGTTATTATTTCAACTGAAATTACGACTGGAAATGAAACATACTTTGGATTTTATTCACTAGAATCCTTCTATCTGTTAAAATAGAATTTGTTTATAAGCTTGTTGTTGTTCTTTACTGTTGCCAAGTGAACATAAGAGTTGGATCAATATTGCTTCGTTTTTTAGTGATGGGAATGTATTAGCTGTTGTTTTGCTACTGCTTCATAAACACCATTATTCTTGCAGCAGTATGTGCTAGTGCATTTTCATTGTGCATATGCAGTCTTTAAAACAGGTTATGTCATTTTTCTTGCTATTTATCTAGCACAAGTGAGCAAGCATTTGTATATCATTCTTATGGAATTGTATTTTTGTCTTCAGTTTCATGATTAAACGGAACCTTATTTGGAAACAGAAGGTACCATAATTTTCCACTGTTAGTGAAGTTTTTATTAAAAAATGCGAGCCTATCATTTGCTCATTTATTAGTGTTGTTTGCATATGTGTAACCATTTTTTTAATTCTTTGTATTTCTAAAATGTTACAGTTTATCTTTCTATTGTATTTTCTGTATAAATATGCAGTGTTAGTGAAGAGATAGGGAACCATCTGAAATATCACTTATTTAAACTCAGTCATGTACAAATATAGTTTTCCTTTCTCAAAATGATCTTTAGAGTAACCTTGATCTGCACATAAGTTCAGTGACAAACTGTTTTACTGCTGTAACATTTTGTGAATATAGTGAATGAATGACTTTCATATGAGTTATTTAAAAAACATTGCTTCTGAATTTAAAATGGGTTTATCATCTAAATATTGCAACTGGGGAAATAACTTTATCTGCAATATGTAATGTTAAATGTAGGTAGTGCAGACTTAAAAAGACATAGCTTTCAAGAGAGACATAGCTGCATTTAACCCAATCTACTTCAAGTGCTAGTTAAAAATTTTGATGATACTGAATGTTTAATTCTCATAAACTTGGAGCATTGAAATTGTTTTTAGTAAAATTATTTATGGTTTTATGGTATGTATCAATAGCCAAATAAATATAAAAAAGTATATAATACTACTTATAAACAATTGAAATAGTCTCTTCTCCATGAAAGACTAAATTTAGTATTTTCCAAATGTAGTGAATATTTTTGTTTACATAAAATGTACATCTCTAAAATTTGATTATTTAGAAAGAAAGATTTTAAGATTTTACAAACATTTTGCAGTTTACTTCTTACTTTTTCTAAATACATTATTTAACTAATGTAGTATTAGTTGAATAATGTAAAGGTACTTTTAAGCCTTATGCATATATAATCTTATATTTCATTGTATATAACATTTTGAATTTTTTAATTTTATTTATTGGTGATTTCATAGGAATTTAGGCGTTCTGCCTCTACAATTTATGGTGAAAGAACTTGTTTTTTTTATTATGACATGCATAAAATATCTTTTCAGGTATTTGTGACAAATGTATACAAAATTTGAGACAGATGCATTGGAAGAACATTTAAGGCAACTAAGCATCTGAAAACAATCTTATTTCAGTTTTAGAATAAAAAGATTTATTTGCAATACTGTTAAATATATGATAAAATATAAGCTGTAAATTTTCTGCCAAAAGTCATTTAGTGCATAGTATAGGCTGAGTAATCAGAAAATATTTAATATTATCAGCCTATACTATGCACTACTGCTAGGTGTATGATAGAATGAAATTATATGTTTTTGGCTGAAGGATATTCTTTGTTTTATTTGTATCTTACTGCAAAATTTTATGTTAAATAAATTAAGAACAATATTTTTTCTTCTTTTTGTTTAGCTGCAGCATGTTGCCAAAGTTATTGGCTTGCCATTAGTAAGTAAATTTTAAGATTAAATTGATAAAAAAAAAAATTTTGATAGCATGTATAATCACAAGTAGTGTATTATGTCTATGGCCTTATTTCAAAACTATAATGTTCAAATGATAACAAGTGCCACAAAATAATATTGTAGAACCACTGTATATAGAAGAAAAACATCACTATGCTCGTTGAGTTAGTACTAAAGAATGATTTATTTACATGAATTAAAAGTAACAAGAAAAGAAAAAAAATCATCACAGTATCAAACATCTGCATCAATCGTCCATATTTTCACGTGTGTGATCATCTAGATAGCACTTTAGCGTTGCATAATGCACTTACATTCACAGTTGCATGGCCATCCTGCATTCCCATTTACCCTCAGATTGCAAATGTAGATAGTGATACTTAACATTGAAAATACTATTAAAGAAAAAATATAAAGCAAGCAGATAAATGGAAATAATATTGAATCATTATCAGTGGAAAGATTGAAAGGGTTAAAATCCTTTCAATCTTTCAAGGTATCGATCATTTCGTATGAGAAAATGTGTGCTAAAATTCAGGTAATATGTTCTGATGAACCAGTCCAAGTTTAAAAAATTCGAAACGTGCTGTTTTGAGAGATCTATTGAAGAAAACACATTTTTCAGCATCATAAGTATCATTTGGGTTGATTTTTTACAATTTTGTACAGTCTAAGAAACTTGGGTTTGAGTTTAAGACCAGGTCCATATTGTGTACGTTTAATTGTCACAACATCATAAAGCTGGAACTTACGAGAGGGCCCACCAACGGCCGAGCGGTAAAGTCGCTGAACACTGGTAGTTCGGTCCGAGGTTCGAATCCCGCGAACGGGCTGGCTGCATGGGTGTTTTCGTGGTTTTCCCCATGTGTAATGTGTATACGAGCCAGTTCCCCTTAGAAAGTCCTCCACGAAGGCATCCCTCCCCTTAGGCAGATAGCCCTAGTGTGCTTTGCCATAATTAAATACACACACACTGGAACTTACGAGATGATTTACATCGTAGATTGTAGGTTTTACAATTTTCAGCCTGCACTGTTGTTTAGCTCTCCTAGATCATCACGAGCTCTGACAAAATCCAACTGCTCCTCTTCATTTAACAGCTCTGTAATTTTGTTGTGATTAGCAGATTTAATTTTAGTTCCAAACTTGAGTTCAAATGGAGTTGTATTCATACTTAATGAACATGTTGAATTAATGACTTACTAAATTTACCAGCATTTGTATACCATTTTCTTGTATTCTGAATCAACAGTTTGGAGAGAACTGAAATTACGACAGAATACAATATTTCAATTTGTCCATTGGCACGAGGCAGGCCAGTATTAATTTGAATATGCTACATATTGTTCATGGAACAATAATCTTGAAAATCTTTAAAAGTAAATGCTAAACCTTAATCTGAAGTTATACCCAAAGGATAATTGTCTAGGTTAACTGGCAAAATTTTTTGTAAATGAGTCAATAATAGTAAATGTATGGTTATAATTTTTATGAGTACTTGCAAGTGGTCCTAAATTATTGATGTGATATAAAACAAATCCAATAAAGGTTACTGTCATCAAAGTTAATCAAGTTCTTTTGGTGGTTGAGGTTTGAAATAATAGACGATAAAATTCTCTTGAAACACAACAACAACTAATTTATTTACAATTTAATGTTACTGAAGTAGAGCATAAATTCTCTCTTGCTAGTAATTATTTGGGCTGGCAACTCCCTTACGTCTGTACGTCTAGTTACAATTCAAAATTCTAATCGTTAACTCAAAGAAATGCGTTAGATCTCCATCTATAGGCATTTTGGAACAGATATGTATTATGTGGAGCATCTTGTTTGGGTATAGAATATCACTAAACTTGTTTTCCACACTTATGATTAATTAATATGCAAGGAATACAATTTGCGATATAGTTATCAATTTTGTCTTAATAAAATTCATATTTGATAAGTTCTTCAGTTCATTTAGAAGCAAGATGTGTGTCCTTAATTAGAATTGTTTGCCTTGATTCTAAAGCAACAAATAATTCGAACTTTTAGTACTTCTTTGATAGCCCGAATGTGATCATCATGCTTTTGAGCATTTAGTGTTTTCAAAATGAGGCTATCTTAGGTGATGACCATAACGGGATATGCTCAGTGCATCAACATGTGTCATTCGTATTCCTGTTCAGTATTCTGTTTCATAATCAAAATCTTCTACTATCAATGAACGGTTTGCTATTCACATATTTAAGTCTCTTGTTCATAGTCATTTTGAAGACATTGCAGTCAGTAGAATGTAAGCAGTTATCAGTGATGGATTTTATATATGTGTAGAGGTTCTATGGTGAGGCAAGACACAAGTATAAAATATATAAACTTTATTTAACACATCAATAATAACATTCCGATGAGAAAAAGGAACTGCCGCTACATGCACGCCATTCTCTTCCCCATCCGCAGCTCCTCAGAGGCGGACATGCACAGAACTCACAAAACTTCATATGGTGTTTCCATGGCAACACCACATATTAGAGAGTATAACCATAACTGTCGATATTGGCATCGGTGTACATTTCAGTATCACTTGTAACTTTTAGGTTTGGGCTAATTAACAGCAGCAGTTGTTAAAGAGGAGATGAAAATAATTAACCATTTTCGATGGCATGACTAAGAAATTCAATTCTATGATTTAAAAATTTAGATTAGAAGCAACTGAGAAATGGATTTCAGGTGTACTGACTATCTGAACATAATACCTTCAGCTTTTGCAGGAATTATGATATCCTCTAAATACAGTGAAACATAACCCTGCAAGATCAGATCCTTGAAAACTGATTTCACAAATCTTTAAAATACAGAAGTTGAGGTAGAGACAAAAATGTGCAGGTAGAAACTGTTATTGTCCATTATGGATGGCAAATGAAGTGTAATGTCAACTGTTTTTTCAACATTTAATATAAAAGAAAGCATTTTTTTTAAATCAGTGTTAGTGAACGTACAAGCATCTTGAAGTTTATCCACCATATCCTCTATGAACGGTAAAAGATACGGATCTTTAAATATATCCTTGTTTAATTTGTGGTATTCTACACAAACTCTAGGGCTACCATCTTTGTGTTGTACTATTACAACTTGATTAGAGTATTTGGAAAGACATGGTTCAGTTATGCTGTAATCTAGGCAAGTTTGTACATGTTTATCTACAATGTCTCTTTTAACAAAAGATACTTGTGTAGATCTGTAAAAAAATAGCTGTTTTATCTTTCACCTAAATAGTTAGCTCAGTGTTCTTAGCTAAGATATCATTCAAAGTGCTTAACATTTTTTTAGATGTCAACAAATTATTAAAGTTTCCTTCTGTTTCAGTAAATGTTTAAGTTTATTACCATATTCGAAACATTTTTCTTCGTAATCGGTACTAATGTTTACTTCTCAGTTAAGTTTATATAGAGTAAATGTTCAATTTGAGTATCTAAGAATTTTATTTTATTCTTTTTTCCCCCCTTCAATTAAAACTTTTAGATGTTCCTCTAAGATATCACATGTAACATTTTCAACTATGTTTTCATTTTAATTTTTCAAAATTGTTTTCAGCAGCTATGTCTTATACTTTAAAAAATGTTACATTTAAAGCAAAAGTCATAACAGTAAGATGCTCACCTGTAATCCTCTTGAAAATGGTTGAACATTGCAAATCCATATAATTGTTGATAATAGGAACCTTACACTAAGCAGGGGCAGGAACTTTTGAGCTTCTGACACTTAATAGATATAGGACTGCAATATATAAAGAGAAAACATCACTAATAGAGTTATTACTAAGCTAATAATGTACACTGAAGAGCCAAAACATTATGACCACTTACTCACAAACGTGTTGTGCAACCTTTGGCCTGTAACACAGCTGCAACACGCCTTGCATGGATGCCACAAATTCTTGGTAGATGGCTGAAGATAGGTTGTACCAAATGTCTTAAGAACCAGTCAGGCAAAGTCAAGATATTTTGCCATGGTGGTGTTTGAGTTCTGAGTACCACTCCATGACACCCCAAATGTGCTGTTATCAGCTTTAAAATCTGGCAAGGACATTAATTGGAATTCATCCTTATTCTTCTTGAACCACTCCAACACAATTCGAGCGTTGCTACATGTGCCATTGTCCTGTTGGGAGGTACTATGTCCAGTTGGGAACACAGATGCCACGTAAGGGTGGAACTGGTCTGTAGTTATGTTCAGATAGTGAGCCGCTTTCATGGTCTGTTCTACCACAACTAAGAGTCCCCCAGAGCATAATACCCCTACCAGCCTTTGTATGACCTTGTACGGAGGGGAGTAACTGGAAGATGGCCTACCCTGACATGATCATCGATGTGATGAATGAGATATTGTGATACATCTGACCAGGCCTCTGTCTTCCACTTATCCAAGGTCTAGTCTTGATGTTTCCAGGCCTACTGTAGGCATAGTTGACAATGGCACTTGGTCAACAGATGCACACGAGTGGAATGTCTGCTGTGTGTGTCTGCTGAACTGTGCTCCAAAACTAAAACACTTGGACCTGCACTGTATTGGGCTGATGAGATACTCTATGGTGCCGATTTTGCCATACCAAGTTGAACAGTCTCCAACGTCCTTTTTCTTTGATGATGTGTGGACGTACAACACCTTACTGTCTACTGCTGGTTTCACCATCATTTATCCACTTTGCATAGATACCAGCAATGGCAGATCATGAACAACCTAACAGTCATACAGTTTTGGAGATGCTCGTTCTGAGACTTCAGGCCATTACAATCTGCCCTCTTTCAAATTCGCTTAGATTATTAGCCTTGCCCGCAATCCTTTAGCTTCTCCAGCAGCAGTTAAATACTGCTCCCACTTAATCATGTGTCCTCCATGTCATCCAAACAAGTTTATTGAAAAGTGTGGGGATGGTCATGATGTTCTGGCACATTAGTGTATTTTATGAACTAAAAATAAAAAAGAAGAATCATCACAGCAACAAGAATCTACGTCAGTCATCGCCTGCACGCTTATCTGAATGGTACATTAGCGTTATGTAACTCAATTACATTCAGTTTCATGGTCATTTCTATAATATTTTAGTTTCTTATTATTGAAAATACTTTGTAATTTTCTATTAACATAGAAAGAAGGCATTTATTATGCTTTGTAAGGGAAAGTATTTAAAAGCGTATAAATTTTGAAATTTTATATATGCAGCTTTTTGTTTAAAATATCTTCTTTTAATTGTCTTTTGTGGTTATTTCAGCCGACTGTAGAAAAGAAGATGTCACAGATGATTTTAGATAAGAAATTAAATGGTAAACCTAATTTTTTTTTAATAATATAAATTACATTTTTGCATTTGAAATTGCTGTATGGTAAGAGCTGAGAAATCATTAAAAACATTACAATTTTTGTTGTAATTGAAGATTATTATTTCACCTCATTTTTAAAGTAGCTGATTGCATTTATATTCTTAAGTTGCAGGCATAGATTTTAACTTGATTTTTTTGTCTATAGACTAATCTATGATATTTATGAAAAAGATATAAGAAATTAAATTGCCCTAACCATCACCTTTTTTTTTTTTTTTTCCAGGTATTCTTGATCAAGGTCAAGGTATACTTATAATTTTTGAGGCATCTGATAGCGATAAAACATACGAAGCAGCCCTTGAAACTATTCATTGTCTTGAAAAAGTTGTGGATTCTATTTATCGGAAAGCAAAAAAACTAACATAATTTTTTTTTTCTGTTCATAAACATTGTTTTTTAATAAAATATATTTATTAAAGTTTTGTAAATAACAGCATTCATGAAATAAAGCATTACATATTTCTGAGAATGCGAGTTTTTTTAGTGATGCATTAATATGTACACAGGTAAATTTTTTTTCATAAACTTTGCCCTGGCATATGTAATTTCGTAAATATGGCGAAGATGTGTATTAATTTTTTCTATGCCATATGTCTTGCTCAATAATGAAGTTGTGGCACTTAAGATGGAAAGGTCGTAGAAATTTGAAATCACAGAATCAATACATATTTTAGTCATAAGCAAATGATAAGAAAAGACAACAAAATTTTCAAATAATTTTGATATTTTCAGTATGAATAACAGCTATGCACAGAAAGCCATGCTGTCAATCAGAGGATTAATTATTGTCTAGAAAATATTTTTGTCGATGCTAACACATAAACATATCTGACTTTTCCTTTCTCAGTATCTGACCAATGAAACTCCAAATCTTGATGGAAAGCAAGTCTGAAGAAATGGCAGATCATGATAGCATGTTAAGTCCACACAAGTTAATCCAGTACTAGCATCATCCATCTTGTATAGTCATTTTTAAAAGTAGCTGATATAACACCTTTTAAGAATGGATGATAGTGACTCTTTATCCAAATCAACATGATATTGATCTGTACTAGGAAGGAAGACCAAAGGGGTCCAGATACTAAAAAACATTATGCTGCTGCAAAGTGTTATTTCAGAAGCATGACAATCTCATGAAGTCTGTTGATGATGTTGGCCATGTAGATTCCAGACCAGCTTGTAATAGTCACAGCTTCTGAAATGAAAACAAAACTTATTGCTGGAGAGGTCCATTTTAGCCTTAATTGCTGTTATGGTGTATAACCATGATGGCCTTTGAAAGCAGTGGCTTCAATTCAATGAAATAACCATTGCTGGCCACCTGTCTCTAAGTCCAGTATTGTGCAGACCCTTCTGATGATTTGTGTAGATACTGTTTAGTTTACCACATGGCAGGCAAATTCATTCGCAATAACATAATTATTACTGTGCATTGCTGTTCTAGGTAGAAATTTGCCTCGTCACTTGTTATCATTTGAGATCTTCATCTTTCTGATAAACACTGTGATACACATCATCAAACAGTGGTGACCCTTCAGAACAAACATATAGCCATCTTCTAGAGTCGAACCAAAATATCTGAGTTCAAAGATTCAGGGCCTTTGTATTTGCAATATGTGATCATGAATGGCACACTGATGAACTCGAGGCATCCCTTCAAACACAGTGTTTCAGGGTGATTTGTCTTGTGGCAGAAAAAAATTTTTTTGATCAGGCTTTTAATCATGTAAACTGTACCTCTTTCATGTGTTTAATTAGAGGTAGGCACTTAAAAACATGAAGAGTCACATATTATGCCTCCAGTTTACAAAACCTCAGAGTTTTTCCTTTTTGGCATTGCAGTATCAATGAAGAGTGATGTATATATTCAATTATAAATAGAAAAAATATTGGTGTTTGTAAAGTAGAAAATACATTCCATGGGGCTAAAATTTTATTTTTCTAGGAAATGGAAGTATACCGTTATATATTTAATGTTGCTGTTTGAGGTTATTAGTGTAAAGCAATAAATAAGTTGTCAAATTGTATTATTTTCAATCAAAATAGATTCTTGTACTTCTTTTGAGGATAGAGGAAGTGAAAAATCTTTTAAGACCAGATTATCTGAATGTCATAAGATGCTTCCACACAAAAACGCTGGCAATGTAAATCGGAGAGCAAAATGTATATCACCGGAAAAACATCATCCAAACGAAGACACTAGTGAAATTTGTGTTTACCCAGTTTGATAAATGAGAACAAATTATCACATGGTACTCGCGGAGAGTTGCAAGTGCAAAGTGTTTCATCTGCTGTTTCAGTGTTTGCTCAGAAGTGCACTGCATTGTTCATTTTATTGTGAAAGTTTAATTTAACAAAAGAACATAATAAAAAGTTATTATAAATAAGTTTTAATAGAAATTACGATTTATAAAAGTGTATTTAAATCTATACTATATAGGAGAATTGAATAACTTCAAAAGCCATCTACTGTATAATAAAATCAACTCCATAGTTTTCTCAAACAGTTCTCCCCCTTTAACTTGATTGTTTATGGGATGTGTGGGAGTACATGTAATAACGTACAAGTATTCTATAATTTGATCATTCGCTAAATAATATTACAAATATAAATTATAGAAGTGCATTCAATAAAATTTATTTATTTCAATTTTAAATTTAATAGGTTATAGAGAAAATTATATTCACAGCAAAAAACAAGAAGTAGCTATTTTTTTTAAAAGAAAATAAATGGCTTTTCATTAAAAAATTAAATATGTTAATTATTACCTTTTGATTTGTTGTGCTTAAGTTATTGTTATTTCTATAAATTGAAAAATATTCCAGTTTAAGCATTTAAAAAGTTATATTTGAAGGAATGTGCTTGTAATTAAAGTAAAACACAAACTCTGCTGTGTTAAGGAATATTCTTTGATATCGCCAAGAGATGGCGTTAGGAGTCCATCTATTGGCTTACTTGACCTTTCCCCTTCTGAACACGTGACTTGAAAAAAATATTCTTCTTCTTGAAGGTAGAATTTCGATGCACTACGCAATAGAATTCGATTTAGATATTAGCTGGAACTATTCAGTTATTGCCTTTTGAGCCTTAAATATTCGATTCAGGCATTTTAGCCAACATTGTATATATGTAAATATTAAGCTTAATTAAAATTTATGGAAAACCCTCCAGGCCATGCATCTCATTTTTGGATTATGAGTGATTCGACTTTGATCTAGAACTTTTGTTACAGCTGAAATATTTATCCTTTGAATATCGGATGTGAATAACAGTTTGCATTTACATTCCTTCTATGAGTTTTCTCATCTTACTCCCAGTGATTATAGTAAGCTTAAAAAAAGAAATGTGGCTATATTTTTCTTTTTATTAAATTTACAAGCTGTTATCAAAAATCTAATTAACCCTCTGAGCATTACGAGTTTAGCCCTGAAATTTCAAAGTTTCTCAAAATGTCATGGATAAATGGTAATTTCATGATTTTAATTAAAAATTGACTCTTTCATTTTGTACCTTGATTCCGTTTCTTCCGATATACATCCAACTGAAATCAGATACATTAAAAGCTAGAAGAAATTTTCATGTATAATGAATATAGAAGTTAGCCTTCTATACGGAATTTTCTGGCCGTAACGCTCGGGGGGTTAATATTTAAGTTTTTGTAATATTCTAATAGTAATATTCATTACTTGTCTTATCAACCCCCCTTTTTTTTAATCATGTCTTATTGGCACCAAAAATATTCACAGAAGAAGGTTTATCATTAGTCGGGAATTCATGGGTTTGATAGTGCCATGTAAATATTATTGGTGTATTTTTTTCCACTTTTACTTCCTTGTACAAAGTAAAAAGGGAGTATAGTAATCACGAAAAGTTTCAGGCAGCATATTTCAACGAAAATATCCATTTTGACCGCTTTCGAATGCAATTTAACGATGTTTTTGGGTGATATCTGTACGTAAGGACAGACTAAAAGACTCTTTACCTCCAAAAAATTATAAAACTGCTTTAAAATGAATTCTGAAGAGAATTTTTTGTGGTGTCTGTACGAACGTATGTACGTACATATGTATCTTGCATAACTCAAAAACGAGTAGCCTCAGAATGTTGAAATTTTGTATATAGGCCTACTATAACATGTAGATGTGCACTTCGTATTTTGGTTGCAGTCGGCTGCGCCAAACATATATAAATATATTTATATATATCCACTCTGTTACCTGGCTCAGTAATCTCAGTTTTTTGCTTTAAAAATGATTGAATTATGTTGTTCTTATCTTCCAGTTTTTATGCCTTTAGTAAATCTGTATGCAATATTTTTAGAATTATCAGCAATTTTAAAGTTGTTTAAGTGCCACTAAGCCTAATAATTTTTTTGATGGCGACCATTGCTTGTTTACATTTGAATAGCAGAGTAGTGGATTTGTGTCAACTAGAGAAACGTAGTTTCGCAACAACAAAAATAACGCCTTCATTTATTATTGTGAATTAAATCATGCTTAATCCTTTCTGAAATTTTTTCGAGGAAATAAGTGTTTAAGGTTTACTTTGTAATTTTTAATACAGATATTTGAGTTTTTATATATTTTTGCCTTGTCGTGAACTGAGAACTTATTTAATTGAATGAGAAATACTCAGTCGTCTGTGAAAAACTGTTTCTTTTTTGTTTTGTTTGCTTAATTTCTTTTATACATAGTTCTAGTTTTATTATAGTATTTGAATAGAACATGTGGCAACGATTAGATAATTCTTTAAATGATATAAATTTTGTGCATTCTGAGCTATAATATGAACAAAATATAATACTGTTAAGTGAACCTAGCGCCAGAGTGTCGCTATGGTAAAAAAATAGAGTGAATTTTAAAGAATGCATTTATTCTATTGTGGTTTATGCGCTGTCGGCGAAGTAGATTTAATTCAATCCAATTAGTTGAAACGAAATACAAGAAAAAATGCATATAATTTGATATTCCGTACAAGGAAGTCATGTGGTGTACACATCAGATTTTTTATTTAGGAGGAGGTTCAAACTTTAAAAAAAAAAATTATCTACAGAATAAAATATGCAACAAGATAAAGAGAATTTATACAAGATGTGCAGACAAATCTGAACCCAGCAAGTTATTGATTTATATAAACAGGGCACATTTTAAAACTAGAATTTGAAACAATAGTAATTCATAATAGATAAAATAAGAATAAAATGATTCATGATTAAATATTGGAAACATTAAAAAAAAAAAAGAGAGAGAGAGAGAAAATGGTGAATGGAAATTTGCAGAGGTGAAAAAATGAAAAAACTTTGAAGTTGTAAATGACCCTTTGCAATTCTAACTATTACTGTATAAAAAAACAAAACTAATCAAACAATAAGTCTTTATAGAGATAGTTTAATATTCAATAAATGTATGCCACATGGCCAGCATGTTAATTGTCCTCGAAAATTGAGTAGATGTATTTTATTGGATACT